AGTTCGTTTAGTGACCGTTCGAAGTTACGCCAGGAAGTTACACCAGAAAAAAAGTTGACTGATGACCGTTTTTTACACTTACGACTGTTGTAACATCTCCGTGATCAGGAGATCAAAATTCAGATGCTTGGTCACTGACTCACATTTATGACAGTTGCAGTGTCCCAGGGACAGATGATCCGCTTCTGCGCGATCATTCTGATGAGCAAAGTTAATGGGGAAAGCCAGATTCGCTTAACAACAGTGTTACCAACTTAACAACAGTAGTGATTCATTTAACGACCGGGGCAAGGAAGGTCGTAAAATGGAACAAAGCTCGCTTAGCAAACTGTCTCGCTTAGCAACAGAAATCTGGAGCTCAATGGCGGTTGTAAGTTGAGGACTACCTATACCTATGGGGGAATCATAAATTATTAAGCAGCTGGTCATAAGTCGAGGACTGTATTGTGCAGGCACAGTAAACTCAAATAGAATATTTTTTTTCTGGATTTCCAAAGCCAATAATTCATCACCCCATTGGATACCCTCACCTTTCAGATCACAGATTTTCTGTTTCCTTTTTTGACCTCAGGTAGGAAAGGTTAAACTTTCATTTTTCTTTTCGCTCGTTCAAGTCAACAAGGAAAGGAATTATAAAAAAAAATTCTAGCATAAACCAGTTGGGAGAAATGGCAGCAGCTGTTGTCCAACAGGTTAAATGATTTTTAGACTGGGTGAAACCAGGTTTCTTAATAGCAGTGACTGTGAGAGGGACCTTGGAGTCTTAATGGACAACCAGGTAAATAGGAGCCAGCCGTGTGCAGCGGCAGCCAAAAAAGCCAATGCAATCCTAAATTGCATTAACAGAGGGATACAATCAAGATCAAGGAAGGTGCTAATACCACTCTACAAAGCCTTAGTAAGACCACACCTAGCGTACTGCACCCAGTTTTGGTCATCACACTGTAAAAAAGATGTTGAGACTCTAGAAAGAGTGCAGAGAAGAGCAATCAGGAGGATTAGGGGACTGGAGGATAAAAGATATGATGAACGGTTGCAGGAACTGGGCCTGGCTGGTCTAGTGAAGAGAAGGACCAGGGAGACAGGAGAGCATCTTCCAATATTTGAGGGGCTGCCACAGAGAGGAGGAAGGGGGTCAAGCTATTCTCCAAAGCACCCAAAGGCCAGACAAGGAATAATGGATGGAAATGGAACAAGGAGAGATTCAACCTTGAAGTAAGGATAACTTTCTTAACAGTGGGAACAATCAACCCATGGAAGAGAAGTTGCCTTCAGAAGTTGTGGGAGCTTCATCTCTGGAGGCTTTCAAGAAGAGACTGGACTGCCATCTGTCAAAAATTGTGTAGGTTCTCCTGCTTGGGCGGGGGGTTGGACTAGATGACCTACAAGGTCCCTTCCAACTCTGTTAATCTGGAACAATTCTGAAAAGTAATATTTCTCCCCCCATTCCAGGCATTTTTAAACAAAATTTTAAGCATGTGAAGTTCCCTATATTACAGGTAGTCCTCGACTTACAACAGTTCACTTAGTGACCATTCAAAGTTACAACAGCAGTGAAAAAAAATTGATTTAGGACTGTTTTTCATACTTACGACCGTTGCAGAATCCTGTGATTTACATTCGAATGCTGGACAACTGATTCATATTTATGACAGTCGCAATGTCCCTGGATCACCTTTTGCGACCTTCTGAGAAGCAATTTCGATGGGGAAGCCAGATTCACTTAACAACCGTTTGACTAAATTTAAGCACTGCAGTGATTCACTTAACAACGGTGTCAAGGAAGGTCGTAAAATGAGGCAAAACTCATTTTAACAAATGTTTCACTTAGCAACATAAATTTTGAGCTCAATTGTGGCGGTAAATTGAGGATTACCTGTATTCTGACATGGAATTTTCTTGCATTTATACCAGTCACTTAAATCATAATTATAGAAATGACTTAAATGACCAACATCTTTTGTGACAATAAATGCAAGAAAACTCCAAATTAGAATTAATTTAGAATTAATTAGAACTAATCTGCACTAGAATAGCAAATAGGTAGTCCTCGATTTACGACAATTGAGCCCAACATTTCCGTTGCTAAGCGAGGCAGATGTTCAGTGAGTTCGGCTCCGTTTTACGACCTTTCTTGCCACCGTTGTTAAGTGAAACACTGCAGTGGGTAAGTTAGGGACACAGTTGTTAAGTGAATCTGGCTTCCCCATTGACTTGGCTTGTCGAAAGGTCCCAAAAGGGAGTCATGTGACCCTGGGACACTGCAACTGTCATAAGTACCAGTCAGTTGCCAACTGTCTGAATTTTGATCACATGACGCTGGGGATGCTGCAACGGTCGTAAGTGTGAAAATGGTCATAAGTCACTTTTTCAGTGCTGTTGCAATTTGAACAGTCACTAAAGGAACCGTTGTAAATTGAGGACTACTGTAATTTAATACACGGCATGTTTAAACGTTTTAAAAACAAATTTGCAAAATACATCTCTCATTTTTTTTTTTTTTTTACAACAATTGGGTTGCAATTTTACACAATTTTGGATGGCACTTAGAAGCCGCCACGAAAAGTCCCTTTATCCCTTCCAAAAGACACTTCAGGGCAGTAGTGAAATGTAAAATTTGTTTACCGGTTCTGTGGGCGTGGCTTGGTGGTGGTGGTAGACGAGTGGGCTGGCCATTTTTTTTTTAAATTTTTAAACTATTTTTTCTACAACCTCTTTGAAAATGCTTTTAAAGCCTCTGAAGCTTCCAAGTTTACTTTTTCTCTGAAATGCTTCATTTCTTTTTTTTCTTGACTTATTTTAGAGCTTTTTTTGATCTTTGATTTTTTTTTTTGTATTTGACTTGAATCGGCAGAGGCTTTTTTTTCCTTTAAAACATTTTTTCTATAACCTCTTCGGTTGAAGAGGTTGTAGAAAAAATGCTTTTAAAAGCCTCTGATGATCCCAGCTGAGCCGTGCGATCATCAGAGGCTTTTTTTTTTTTACTTTTAAAAGTATTTTTTTCGGCCGAAGAGGTTGTAGAAAAAATGCTTTTAAAAATAAAATAAAAAAGCCTCTGATGATTGCATGGCTCAGCTGGGCAATGGGGGGGGGGGGGTTTGCAGGGATTTTTGCTACCGGTTCTCCTAATCACCCGCCGCCACCATCGCTACTGGATTGGGCGATCCGGTCAGAACCGGGAGCATTTCACCCCTGCTTTAGGGGTTGTCGATGTACCCCACACCCGCCAGGACGAATTCAACAAACGCAAGATTTCAGGCTCGCTGTCTTAATTTTCTTTTTTTAAAAAAGAGCAAAATATAGTTTTGCAAGCCTGCAGATCAGAAAGCAGGAACTGAGTGGCTCTCAGGTTTACGATACTCAATAGGCGGCGAGGAGCGTCGATTACAAAAGCTGTTTACGAGACAATCTCGACAACAGGTGTGATGAAGCAACGTGTTTGCAGGTGAGCATTAGGAAACAGGATGTCTCAGGAGAGGACGACGCCTTCGTTGGCCATTTCAGGTCTTCCTTGGGCCAAAGCAGGCTCCTATGGAAAGTCTCGCTGGTCATCAAGAAACCCCGTCTGGAGGTCATGTCCAAACTCACCATCACTGTACAACTGTAAAAATCCAGCAGGACCCTTTTCTGAGTTAATTATTTTCTTGCAGATGTTTCATTATCCAAATTAGATGGATAACCAGAAGTTGATGATTTTCCCCTAGTTTGGGTCATGAAATTTCTGCAAGGAAACCACTAAGCTCAGAGAGCACCAAGGACCCCACAGTTTTCGTTCCCCTTCTCCTCCTCAAATCCCCTCCCTTCTAGCACTGATGATATTACCTAGTTAGGTCATGAGATGTCTCCAAAAAAAACCCTCCAAGCTCAGAGAGCACCAAGGACCCTACGATCCAGGATGGATAAAAATCAATGATTTTTTAAAAAAAAATCAAAAAAATCAGATTTTTTTTTTATTTAAATCGGATTTTTTTTAATTTTTATCGAATGTATTTTAATAAAAAACTTTTGGGGTAAAAATCTATCGTAAGATAGTTTTCTATTTAAGATACATAAATAATTTACTTTATTCAGCATGAAACGGAGCTTAGTTATGTAGCATGAGGCTGTATATTCTGCAACACTGGGACTATCGGTGAATCAACAGTGGGTCAAAGGAGTAGCAGAGATGACAGTTGCTCTTTAACAATTATGATTTAAATCGAGTTGATTTAAATCAAGCCTTTTTACTAGGGATTTAAATCATGATTTAAATTGTGATTTAAATCAACTCGATTTAAATCAAATCCACCCTGCCACACACCCATGCCTTTTGAGATTTCTCTCCTGCCAACAGCTCCACTTTCCTTTGTCTGTGCCAGATTGCTTTCAATGGGAGAGAGTAGGGATCTTGGGCACCAGCTTGGGGTGGGTGGGAAGGCGAAGCAGATCTACTAGCACAGGGGTCTGCCACCTTAAACACTCAAAGAGCTATTTGGACCCGTTCCCCACAGAAAAGAAAACACCGGGAGCCACAAAACCCTTCCCGTGCCTGCAAGGTGGATTTGATTTAAATCGAGTTGATTTAAATCACGATTTAAATCATGATTTAAATCACTAGTAAAAAGGCTTGTTTTTAATCAACTCGATTTAAATCATAATTTTTAAAGAGCAACTGTCATCTCTGCTCCTCCTTTGACCCACTGTTGACTCACCGATAGTCCCAGTGTTGCAGAATATACAGCCTCCTGCTACATAACTAAGCTCCATTTCATGCTGAATAAAGTAAATTATTTATGCATCTTAAATAGAAAACTATCTTACGATAGATTTTTACCCCAAAAGTTTTTTATTAAAATAAATTCGATAAAAATCACAAAAAATCCGATTTAAATTAAAAAAAAATCTGAGTTTTTTTGATTTTTTTTTTAAAAAAAATCATTGTTTTTTATCCACCCTGGTGTGTGTGTGGGTCCCCCAGCCACCCCCTTTGCCCCTACCCCCCCAATCCCCTTCAGCCTCACCTTCTGCAGGTTGCAGCTCTTGGAAAGATGCCTGGGGAAGGGGGGCGGGCAGGCTGGGTCCCCATCAGCCTCCCCTCCTGGGGGGCTCTCTTCTTCCGGGGTCATCTCGGCTGCCACGAAGTCAGCATCTGTCCGGGTGGGGGGGGGGGAATCGTAGTACCAGCAGAGCCCACCCACCCAAAATGCTTTCCAAGCCTTTCCTGGAAGTGGGGGGGGGGCAGCCTTTCCCCACTTATTTGGGGGAGGGGGCCAGGGGGACCCCCTCCTCTTCAAGACCCCCCCCCTCTCCTAGCAACTCCAGAGAGGGCGGGGTTTTTTTTTCTTTAAAATCGCCCCCCAATAAATGCCAATTTTGCTGGAGGTTTTTTTTTTTTTTTTTTGCAAAATTTGGAGGTTTGCAACTTCGGCTTTGCAAAGCTGGGGGGGCTTTTTTTTTTTTGCAAAGGACAAGGGGGGGGGAGGCTCATGCAACCCGGAGCCCCCCCACGTCTCGCGCCCGGATCCCGCGCCGCCCCTTCTTCCCTAGCACCCGCGGAGCCCGAGAGCTTCGACTCGCGTCCAGACCCTTTTTTTTTCTCTCCCCAAGCCTCGCAAGCCCAGGCAGGGGCCGGGCCTTGTCCAATGGCGGAGCCCCGTGTCTTGGAAGGGCAGCCCCTCTGACCAATCCGGAGAGGCGAAGGCAGGTCCGGCTTCGGCCCCGCCTCCGAACGCCTTTTTCCCCAGGGAAGGGAAAGGCGGAGCCGGAGGGTTCGATCTCCCGGGGCAACCCCGGGGATTAGAACGCGGTGACGTCACGGAGGGAAAAGTGCAGGCGGCTCGCGCGCTCCTTTGCTCGCTTTGAACTTAGGTGGGCGGCGGGGGGGGAAAGCCCCTCCCGAGGCTGAGAATGGGATGGGATGGGAGAGGAGAATTAGAATAGAATAGAATAGAATAGAACAGAACAGAACAGAACAGAACAGAATAGAATAGAAAATGGAATGGAATGGAATGGAATAGAATAGAATAGAATAGAATAGAATAGAATAGAATAGAATAGAATAGAATAGAATAAATAGAATAGAATAGAATATAGAAAGTGGAATAGAATAGAATATAGAAAGTGGAATAGAATAGAGTATAGAATAGAATAGAAAGTGGAATAGAATAGAATAGAATAGAATAGAATAGAATAGAAAATGGAATGAATGGAATGGAATGGAATGGAATAGAATAGAATAGAATAGAATAGAATATAGAAAGTGGAATAGAATAGAATAGAATAGAATAGAATAGAATAGAATATAGAAAGTGGAATAGAATAGAGTATAGAATATAGAAAGCGAATAGAATAGAATAGAATAGAATAGAATAGAATAGAACAGAATACAGAATGGAACGGAACGGAACAGAATAGAATAGAATAATAGAGTGGAATGGGATGGGATGGAATAGAATAGGGAATGGGAATGGGAATGGAAATGGAGTAGAGTAGAGTAGAAAATACAGAATAGAATAGAATAGAAAATAGAATAGAATAGAATAGAATAGAATAGAATAGAATAGAATATAGAAAGTGGAATAGAATAGAGTATAGAATATAGAAAGTGGAATAGAATAGAATAGAATAGAATAGAATAGAATAGAATATAGAAAGTGGAATAGAATAGAGTATAGAATATAGAAAGCGGAATAGAATAGAATAGAATAGAATAGAATAGAACAGAATACAGAATGGAACGGAACGGAACAGAATAGAATAGAATAATAGAGTGGAATGGGATGGGATGGAATAGAATAGGGAATGGAAATGGGAATGGGAATGGAGTAGAGTAGAGTAGAAAATACAGAAAGAATAGAATAGAATAGAATAGAATAGAATAGAATAGAATAAAATAACAAAGAGAATAGAATAGAAATAATAGAGAGAACAGAAGAAATATAAATAAGAGAAGGAATAGAATAATAAAGAGAAGAGAAGAATATATAATAAATAACAAGAGAATAGAATAATAAGAATAGAATAGAATAATAAAGAGAATAGAATAGAGAAATAATAGAATATAATAAAATATAAGAATAGATATAAGAATAGATAAGAGAGAAATAATAGAGGACCCAGTTTGTGGGGGCCCATAAGTGACATTTTAACAAAACTACAAAAGGATAAAGCTAAATATAGCGCATTGTAAGCCGCCCTGAGTCTCCGGAAGGGCGGCATATAAATCAAATAAAAAAAATAAATAAAAAAAAATATATTAAAATTTATAATTAAATAAATAAAGTTTAAAATTTCTATACCGCCCTTCTCCAATATAGGACTCAGGGCGGTGAACAGCCAAAATAAAACAAGACATACATACAAAACATACAAAATCTAAAAACTGATTAAAATGATTAAATCTTTTGGCCGTAATTAAAACAATTCCAATTTAAAATCAGTTTAAAATTTGACTCAAGCCAGCCCAGCTAGTTGAAATAAATGGGTTTTTAGGGCCCGACGAAAAATCCGGAGGTCTGTTATTATCCGTAACTCTGGGGGGAGGTTGTTCCAGAGGGTGGGCGCCACCACAGAGAAGGTTCTCCCCCTGGGGGTCGCCAGCCGACATTGTCTGGCGGACGGCACCCTGAGGAGGCCCACTCTGTGTGAGCGCACTGGCGGTGGGAGGCTATTGGTGGCAGAAGGCGGTCTCGTAATAATAACAAGGAGAATAGAATAGAATAGAATAGAATAGAAAATACAGAATAGAATAGAATAGAATAGTAAATATAGAATAGAATAGAATAGAATAGAATAGAATAGAATAGAATAGAATAGAATAGAATAGAATAGAATAGAATAGAAAAAAATACAGAATAGAATGGAATGGAATAGATTAGACAAGGAAGAATGGATGGAAACTGATCAAGGAGAAATTCAACCTAGAAACGAGGAGAAATTTTCTGACAGTGAGAACAATCAACCCATGGAACAGAAGTTGCCTTCGGAAGTTTGGGAGCTTCATCACTGGAGGCTTTCAAGAAGAGCCTCGACTGCCCTCTGTCAGAAATGTTGTGGGGCTGCTTGGAAAGAGGGTTGGACTAGATGACCTACCAGGTCCCTTCCAACTCTTGTTATTCCATATCCTGTTATTCTGGAAGTCCAGCATTTGTTGAGCAGATAAAAGAAGGAAAAGACGTAAAGAGAAATCTAAAGTAACGTAGCTGGGCTGCTTCCTCGCCTCCAATCTGTTTTTCTTTGCAAAAGTGAATTCGACCTGGGTGATGATAGGTTTGGATGGAGGAGGGGGCCGGAAGGAGCTTAGATACGACACAGAGACGTCTGCAGCCAGATCCCATTTCTCTCCTGCTCTGGTGCTGATAGGGATGTTTTCCCTGCTCGCTGGAGATACGCAGAAGACAGGAAATCTCCCAATAGCTTTGGTTTATCTCGGGCTGCACATGTATAATTAGGACGAGAGCATTGGGGGTGAATGGGAGCACAGGAGAAAGACGCTAGGGACCAGCAGTGGTGCAATCGGTATCGTGGTGTAGGGTTTCTGCTGATTCAAGGATGGGTGGGTTGTTTGCAGAATTCACAGAGTTGGAAGGGACCTTGGAGGTCTTCTAGTCCAACCTCCTGCTCGATCTGGAGACCCTATACCAATGATGGCTAACCTTTTACAGACTCCCCGTTCAGACCGGATCGCCTGATCCGGTAGCGATGGAGGCGGGTGGTTCGGAGAACCGGTAGCAAAAATCCCTGCCCCCCCCATTGCCCAGCTGAGCCGCACAATCATCAGAGGCTTTTTTTTTAACTTTTAAAAAAAGCATTTTTTTCTACAACCTCTTCGGCCAAAAAAAATCTTTTTTTAAAAAAAAAGCCTCTGATGATATGTGACTCAGCTGGGATTGTCAAAGATCCCAACTGAGCTGCCTGATTGTCAGAGGCTTTTTTTTCTTTTAAAAGCCTCTGGACGATCCAAGCTGCGTTGCCTGATCAACAGAGCAAGGAGAGGCATTTTAAAAACGATCCAAAAAATCAGAGGCATTTAAAAGAAAAAAAAGCCTCTGCCGATCAGGCAACTCAGCTGGGAGCCGTCAGAGAAAGCATTTTTTTTGCAACCTCTTTGCTGAAGACGACGTAGAAAAAATGTTTTAAAAGTAAAAAAAACAAGGCCACGCCCACCCCAGTCACATTACCCCCCCCACCAACCCCGCCCACAGAACCAGTAGTAACAAATTTTAGATTTCATCACTGTCCCAAACCTCCAAAATGCAATGCGCGCACGGCCCCAACGCGTGCACCCCACCCCCGCATGCGTGTGTGCCCCCCTGCACATGCCCCACCCCTCACGCACGTGCGGCAGAGACCCGAAGACCAGCTGGGTGGCGGGAGGTGCGTGCACATGCACAGCCGGGCTGAACTGGGGCAATGGCTCGCGGGCCATCAGAGAGGGTGCTGCATGCCACCTCTTGAGCAGAGGCGGTGGTGAAATCCACATTTTTTTACTACCAGTTCTGTGGGCGTGGCTTGGTGTGGCTTGGTGGGTGTGGCTTGGTGGGCGTGGCAGGGGAAGGATACTGCAAAATCTCAATCCCCCCACCACTCCCAGGGGAAGGATACTGCAAAATCCCCACTCCTGGGGGAAGGATATTGTGAAATCTCCATTATCATCCCACTCTGGGGCCAGCCAGAGGTGGCATTTGGACGGTTCTCTGAACTACTCAAAATTTCTACTACCGGTTGTCCAGAACCTGTCAAAACCTGTTGGATTTCAACCCTGAGCAGTGGCTGGACTAGAAGACCTCTAAGGTCCCTTCCATCTCTTCTCTTCTCTTCTCTTCTCTTCTCTTCTCTTCTCTTCTCTTCTTCTTTCCTCTTCCTCTTCTCTTCCTCTTTTTCCTCTCTTCTCTTCTCTTCTCCTTCTCCTTCTCCTTCTCCGTCTCCTTCTCCTTCTCCTTCTCCTTCTCCTTCTCCTCTCCGCTCCTCTCAAAATGAATGCTTAATTAGGGTGGTTGTCTTATTTTTTCTCAGTCTAGCGTCACAGAGTGCAGGAAGCTGTGTCACCCGTCTGACAACTGTGCTTCTGAGGGACACCAAAAATGGGTTGGACCTTGGTTTATCTCCCACTACATTTGGGTGAGAGGACTAGGAAGCCAGGATTGGATTGGGATGGTGTAGGTTGTCATTTGAGGGTGCAGAGCCCAAGAAAGACTCTAACTCTTGTTTGTAAACATATTAGTGTTATAATTGTGTCTTCCTCTTACAGTCTTGTCTTCTGAAGGATCCAGACCAGAGTTTTCTGTCAAAGGAGAGGCCATTGCAAGAGAACTCGGCTTCCCAAGGTGAACTTCTCCATGGTTTTAGAAGAAGGGAGCCCCGAGATCTCCTGCATGGGATTGCATTCAAGTCTTGCCTTTCTTTAACACGGGGTGTCCAACCTTGGCAACTTTAAAACTTCTGGACTTCAGCACCAATTACCCAGTCAGCATGATCGAAATCCATTGGATTTGCCAAGTTGGACGCCTCTGCTTTGACACTTAAGTACCTTAAATATTTCTTTAATACTGTTTCTTAAGAATTCATTAAGCAAACCTAGAAGCTGGATCTCATGCAGGCCCTTGCTTATGAAGAGAGTTGGGGTTTCTAGGGACCACATGATCCGTTCACTCATTTCACTGAGCCATAATGTAGATTTATGGGTTTTCGTTGAGCGTGATATCTCAGCTAAGTCACCTGAAGCTTATTCAACCAATCACTGCTGAGCAAATCAAAGTTTAATGTGATTTGTGACCTCATAGACACTTGAAGCTGGTCTTGTAGACCATCACGAGCTGATGCAGCTAAGTCTCTGCTCACCTTGACTTGAGGATCTTCAGCAAAAGAGAGATCTTCCATGACTCATGATTCATCCAAGTCCATCTCTCTTGACATTGAACCTCAATCAACCTTCCTTATTATTATTTTTTTTTAATCCGGATTTCTGGGCAGCAGGAAACGAGTCCTTCCTTCATCCCCTCCGTCTACATTTCTCTAGGTAAAAGTTATACTACATTCCTCTTCATGGCTTGTATTCTGAACTCATGACCGTTGTCTTCTCAAACATGGAGCCCTGAATGTACCATAGATGAAGTCAAATGGGGGCATTAAAAAAACCCTTTTTTTATAGGTTATGGATACGTTATAGTCATGGTTTTGGCTTTATTGTGGTTCACGAACTCAGACTTGGTTCAAATCAGAGTGAAGCAAATTATGGCTCAGTGGAATGTTGAAATTCAACTCCTAGCTTATTAGGGGAAGGAAGCATGGAATGCTGGTTTGATGTTGAACAGACTATGAATGGAAGCTTGTTTAGCCATTCCCAGTGGCAGACAGGCTCGGTGGACTGCCTGTACAAGCAGGAAATTAATCCATTATTTTTTCATCCGTCCAAAAACTCTGTTCACAGGGTGGAGTTGAAGTCTAACAATGATCCAGAGCTTTCAACAGAATTGGTTTATCATAGCATAGAATCGAATCTGTCTCAAAACCTTTCTATTTGGGTTATATTTCGTCCCTTCGGTTTTATATGCTATTTTTTAAAATATAATTTTCTTGAAGTTTTTAGCAAAAACAATGCAAATATTAGAAAAGAAGTGAAATAAAAAGAAAAAAAAATAAGAAATGAAATAAAAAAAGAAAAGAAAAAGTTTCTGATCTTAAAAGTGATTATAAAATGCATTTATATTTTATCCTCTCTCTAGAGTTACCTCATAACTTTTCCATAAGGTCACCTTTGTAATCTTCAAACTCATAAATTATAAAAATTATTTTTTCCCCATAAAAAGTTCATAAGATTTTTACCTGTTTTTTTTAAAAAATATAATTTTATTAAACTTATGGAAGTTCAAAATACAAATACAAATGAAAATATTGGGAAAATGGAGAAAGGAAAAAAAGAGGTTTTTGATGTGTTCGTCTTAAATTCTTTTTTTCTTCCAGAACTCTTGAGATGTCATGGATTCCACCCTCTGTAACGGACATGCTGTTCCTTATCTGAGGTAAATTAAATCTGAGCCAGCCGTGTGCAGCACCTTCCAAAAAAGCCATCACAGTTCTTGGCTGCATAAACAGAAGGATAGAATCAAGATCACGTGAAGTGTTAATATCACTTTATAAGGCCTTGATAAGGCCACACTTGGGAATTGCGTCCAGTTTTGGATGCCACGATATAAAAAAAATATGTTGAGATTCTGGAAAGAGTGCAGAGAAGAGCAACAAAGATGATTAAGGGACTGGAGGCTACGAAGAACGGTTGCAGGAATTGGATATATCTTGTTTGTTTGTTTGTTTATTTATTTATTTATTTATTTGTTTGTTTGTTTGTTTGTTTGTTTGTTTGTTTGTTTATTTATTTATTTATTTATTTATTTATTTATTTATTATCTATCAAATTTCTATACTGCCCTACTCCTGGAGGACTCAGGGCAGTGAACAGCCAAGATAAAATACAGATAATACAAACATTAAAAGTCCATTAAAATTATTAAATATTTTGGCCAAAAATATAAAACAGATTAAAACAATTTAAAAATTGAAAAGGGAGAGTTAGGCCAGGCCAGCCTGCTGAAATAAAAATCTTTTGAGAGCACGACGAAACATGCGCAGGTCCGGGATCCTCCGTATCTCCGGGGGGAGCTCGTTCCAGATGGTAGGTGCCCCCACAGAGAAGGGTCTCCCCCTGGGGGCCGCTAGTCGACGTTGTTTGGCCGACGGCACCCTGAGGAGCCCCTCTCTATGGGAGCGTACTGGTCGGTGAGAGGCTATTGGTAGCAGAAGGCGGTCTCGTAAATACCCCGGTCCGATGCCATGGAGCGCTCTAAAGGTGGTAACCAAAACCTTGAAGCGCACCCGGAAGACCACCGGGAGCCAGTGCAGCTCGCGCAGGAGGGGGGATCACATGGGAGCGCCACGCCGCTCCCATAACCACCCGCGCGGCCGCATTCTGGACCAGCTGGAGCCTCCGGGTGCTCCTCAAGGGGAGCACCCGGATGCTCCAGCCTTAATGAAAAGAAGGACAAGGGATGACATGTTAGCAGTGTTTCAGTATTTGAGGGGCTGCCCCCAAAAAGAGGGGGTCTACCTATTCTCCAAAGCAACTCCAGGCAGGACAAGAAGCAATGGATGGAAACTAACCAAGGAGAGAAGCAACCTAGAACTAAGGAGGGATTTCCTGGAAGTGAGAACAATTAACCAGTGGAACAACGTGACACCAGAAGTCGTGGTGCTCCAACACTAAAGGTTTTTAAGGAGAGAATGGACAACCATTTGTCTGAAGTGATATAGGGTTTCCTACTTGAGCATGTGGATGGACTAGATCTCCAAGGTCCCTTCCAACTCTGTTATTCTGTTCTATTCCTAATATTGGAAAGTGAAGCTTTGTGCAAATGCACTTGTGATGATGTGAACTTCTTGAGAACATGGTGGCACCAAAGTTTTCATAGATACTGTTTTTTTAGAAATTGCCAAGTTTTTGAAAAGTCCTGTGCGTGGATAAGTAGAGTGAGAAAAAGACAAGTCCACATTATGGTTGATGGCTCTGTACTTGAAAATGCAATGAGACAGAATAGAGCCAGAAGGGACTTTGAAGGTCTTCTAGTCCAATTCCCTGCTCAAGCAGGAAACCCTATACTTGTGATGGCGAACCTATGGCACGCGTGCCAGAGGTGGCACGCAGCGCCCTCTCTGTGGACACGTGAGCCGTTGCCCCAGCTCAGCTCTGCCGTGCATGCGCGCATACCTCCCGCCAGTCGGCTGGTCTTCGGGTCTGGACAGACAAACAGTTTCGAGAGATGTTTGCAGGAAAGTTAATCCCCTCCACCACCACCAGGATTGCACATATTTAAAATGAGTCAGTGAGGATAGTCCTTGACTTACGACTATGATGGGAAGCAGAGTTTCCATTGCAAACTATTTCCCCTGCTGGCTCAGGAATTCTGGGAGTTGAAGTCCACAGATTGGGAGTTTCTCATAGGTGCCCATCCCTGGCATGGAGGATAGGCTGTGTTGTCATCAATTCGGGTCTGAACCTGGTGCTGAGGCCAATGAAGGGTACCAGACATGAGGTGCAGGGTTTTTTCCCCCTTTTACTGAAGCGCTCCAAGAAAAAGTGTCTAACAATAATAATCTAACAATTATTTTATTGGTCTCTAACTGTCCCTAATCCTAAACCTTGGCTAATAAATGCTTCAGGAGTTGTCTAATACACATTCTATTTGCTCCACACCATCTCAATTCCTGATTTCTAGCTGAGGTGTGCAAGATGCCTACCACATTTTTCGGACTATAAGATGCACTCCGCCCCCCTAAAAGAGGCTGAAAATTTGGGTGCATCTTATACTCCGAATGTAGTTTTTCAAAGCTTTTTTCCAGCCCTAACGAGGTGCTAGTGAGTGAAGTGATCTGATCTTCTGAGCTTTGCCTGCTTTTTTCAATGCTTCTCTCTCCAAAGGTCAGCTGTGCTTTAGAAGCTTTTTTCCAGCCCTAATGAAGCGCTAGGAAGTGAAGCAATCTTCCGCACTTCACTTGCTTTTCTCAGTGCTTCTCTCTCCGAAGATCAGCTGTGCTTTATAAGCTTTTTTCCAGCCCTAACGAGGCGCTAGGGAGTGAAGTGATCTTCCATACTTCGCCTGCTTTTCTCAATGCTTCTCTCTCCGAAGATCAGCTGTGATTTATAAGCTTTTTTCTAGCCCTAACGAGGCGCTAGGGAGTGAAGTGATCTTCCATACTTCGCCTGCTTTTCTCAATGCTTCTCTCTACGAAGATCAGCTGTGATTTATAAGCTTTTTTCTAGCCCTAACGAGGCGCTAGGGACTGAAGTGATCTTCCATACTTCGCCTGCTTTTCTCAGTGCTTCTCTCTCCGAAGATCAGCTGTGCTTTAGAAGCTGTTTTTTATCCCCAACCCCGCGCGTGTGAGTGTGCGCGTGCTCAAAACCAGCAAAATAATGTGCTGAAACTTACCAGACTAAGGATGCTAACCAGATGAATACCTGGTAGCCAGATTCCCCCCCCTTATTTTCCTCCCCAAAAACTAAGGTGCGTCTTATACTCCAAAAAAATCGGTAACTCTTGGTTACTTTTAACAACCCAGAATTATTACAAGCTTTACTGTGGGACTGACTGGGCTAGATTGTAGGGGTGATACTGAAATATAATTTTATTTTATTTGTCCATATATCCAGTTATTGTATTTTATTCCAATTTCATTCTAAATTGTATTTTATTCCAACTTCACTTTAAATTGTTTTTATAGGCTTTTACTAGTAATCTGTGTTTGGAACTCTGCACTTTGATATGGCCTATGGGCTAATCAATAAACTAAATCCTACAAGCTTTACACGTGCATATTCCTTGTGAGTAAGGATTTGTTGTTCTTGCCAGACAATCTCCACAATTATAGACTCCTTTCAAGTGTATGCCGTAACCTTGCTTGATTTTAACAGATAGCCCATCATTTGGATGTGATGGGAATTGTGCTGTGGGAGGCAGTGTGTGTATGTGTGTGTGTGTGTGTGTGTGTGTGTGTGTGTGTCTGTGTGTGTCTGTGGGTCCTGGGACCCTTAACAGTTTTTGGGTTTCTTGAAAGTTGAAATCCCGGAGTATTGTTTGGGAAAGGTGCAGCTGAGTTTTACGCACCTGTCTGAAGACTCCTTCTGCTGTGTTTGCATTTCAGAGAAGAGCCGGCGTTAAAGAAGACCAGGCTTCAGTCGGAAGATGGGGCACGTGTGGCCGCACGTGGGAATAAGGCAGTAAGCACGGTGGAATTTTGTGTAGCAATTGCATTTACCGTATTTTTGGGAATATAAGATGCACCTTTCCCCCCCAAAAAAGAGGGTGAAAATCTGGGTGTGTCTTATACTCCAAATATAGCCCCGCCCAGCCTCTCAAACGGAGGTTTCAGAGGCTGAAAAAAGCCTCGGAAATGAAGCTTCAGAAAAAAAGCCTCCAAACAGCTTCAGAAAAAAAAGCCTCTGAAAGGAAACTTCAGAAAAAAAGCCTCTGAAACAGAGCTTCAGAAAAAAAAGTTCTGAAGCTCTGTTTCAGAGGCTTTCAGAGGCAAAAAAAAAAAGTTTTTTCTGAAACAAAGTTTCAGAAGTTTCAGAGGCTGGGGAAAAAAGCAAGGCACAGAGCTCACAACTAACGAACCTGTTGATAAAATTCACCTCTGGGAACAGCTGATTGGGAGTATTCTGGGAGGCTGATCTAACCGCCAATCAGCTTTTTTCTTATTTTCCTCCCCAAAAACTAAGGTGCATCTCATACTTTGAAAAATACGGTAGTTGTTTAGTGGGAATGGCCTTGGGAGACAGAGGAAGAGCTGCAGACTGGACAACAGGCACATAAAGGATGTCTCAGCCCACAGTAGGAAAAGGGGTGTGGGAAGGGCTCAGAAGGGACTCTCCCTAGTTTTCTATAGAGTAAAAGGAGAGGGGGATGAGAAATGTTTTCAGTCTTGCAAAATATTTAACTTTACAATAGAGATAGAACAAGTACAGTAGTGGCCAAAATTGTGGAAACCTTTTGGGAAAAGTGTATTTTCTAAAACTAGCTAATAACACCACTTTTTTGGGGAGTAGTACCATAAAATTATATATCAATGGAAAGATAATTGAATCAAGAATGTAATGCAATAACTTTTAAGTTGGATTTGCTCTCAGAATAGCAGTTACAGTATAAAGAAGAAAAGGGAAACACGTAGAAAAAACAAGATATACAAAAATGATCACCATAGAAAAAATGAGATATACAAAAATTATCACCATGTCAGTTAATACTTAGTTGGGTAACCTTTAGCATGAATGACGGCCTTACAATGTCTTCCCACGGAGTGAACCAAGTCTTTGAATTCTGCAGCTGTTATCATGTGAAACCAGGATTGAATGATGGCTTCTATGAACTGGGTTTTATTGCTGGGTCGCTTCTGACTAACCAGTTTATTTAGTCGGTTGGCTCCATAGATTTTTAATTGGGTTAAGGTCTGGGCTAATCCCAGGCCATGCCAACAGTGGAATAGGATTATCTTGAACTCCAAAAAAAAAGTGGTGTTATCAAACCTCCAAAATACTTTTCCCAAAAGGTTTCCATAATTTTGGCCACTACTGTACTATCTTTCAAAGATGATTAGGGGACTGGAGGCTAAAACGTACAAAGAATAGTTCCTGGAGGGGGTCTAGCTATTCTCCAGAGCATCAGAGGGCAGGACAAGATGCAATAGATGGAAACTAATCGAGGAGAGAAGCAACCTAGAATTAAGGAGAAATTTCCTGATAGTTAGAACAATCAAACTGTGGAAAGACTTGCCTCCAGGAGTTGTGGGTACTCCATGACTGGAGGTTTTTAAGAAGAGACTGGACAACCATTTGTCTGAAATGGTACAGAGTTTCATGCCTGAGCAGAAGGTTGGACTAGACCTCCAAGATCTCTTCCAACTATTTTATTCCTATTCCATTCCATTCCATTCCATTCCATTCTCTCTACTCTACTCTACTCTACTCTACTCTACTCTACTCTACTCTACTCTACTCTACTCTACTCTACCCTACCCTACCCTACCCTACCCTACCCTACTCTACTCTACTGTACTCCCTTCTCTATTTTCTCTCCTCTCCTCTCCTCCCCTCCCCTCTCCTCTCCTCTCATGAGGCTTATGCATGTAGTCCTCAAGGTAAGGCCGCAATTGAACCCTGCAATTACGGCCGTAAATCGTGACAGTTCTAAAGAGGTAATCTCCTGACCAGATGTGAATTTATAACCTTTTTTTGCAGCAGTCGTTAAATGAATGCTGGGGTTGTTAAGCGATATCATTGTTTGTTCAGGGACATTTTTTGTCCGGCCAATATGTCATAAATTGTGGTCACATGACTACGGACAGAGCAAATGGCTATCTATGTGGGCGTGTTAAGGATATTGTTGTGTTACCAACCAGCAGAGTGTAGAACACAGAGAAACGTTGCTGAGAGCAATGAATAAGAGATGTGCAAACTGGTTTATCAAAAGTTTACTTTATAGTGAAAAAACAATCTCATAGTCTTTAAATCAATCCAAGTCTTTGCCAGTTAAATCAGTCCAGTGATACAAAAATCTTCTTACCACACAAACAATAGTTGGTTAGAATAATAAGTTCACTCTGGTAACAAACAATGTAGGCTGGTGACCCCCAGGGGGAGAGCCTTCTCTGTGGGGGCACCTACCCTCTGGAATCAGCTGCCCCCAGAGATAAGGAGACCTCAGTGCCTTCCGCCGTGCCCTTAAAACCCACTTTTTCCAGCAAGCTGGGCTGGTTTAGGAAGAAATTAAAAAAAAAATTTTTTTAAATGTTTAATTGGTTTGTGGTTTTTTAAATTTTGGGCCAGATTTATATAGATTTTAATTGTTTTTAATATTTGTATTTCATGTTTTTAATTCTGGCTGTGCACCGCCCTGAGTCCTCAGGGAGAAGGGCGGTATATAAATTGAAAAATAAAAAAAATAAAAAAAATAAAAAACCGCGATGGTAGCAGATCCATCCACCGATGATAGCACAATGGTAGCAACTCCACACACAATGGTAGCATATCATCAACTGAATATGTTACAGTACCTTTCTTAAATACGTTTACAACTAGTGATTATCTAATTACAGCATGACTCAGCTTTACAATGAATCAGTAGGAAAACTTTAAAGTCACACAATACATATTCATATTAAAGTCACAGAACACATATATTGCCTGGACAACTTGTTAGGCTCAAACCATATCCTCACAGGGCGGTTGCTGAGCATTCAAAATGCAGTCTTGTGACTTCAGCGGGAACTACAGACATTTTGGAACTGGGTCATAAATGGCTTTTTTTGTGGGGGAGGGTGATCTGTGGTAATTTTGAACAGTCGCTAAGGTCGCAAGTGGAGGATTACCTGTATATGTTACATTCCTGCATTTCCAGTTCTTCAGAACTAAAGAAGCTTCTGAGATGAGAAGTGAAACGTTTTCAGAGGGAAAAAAAACACAACCCAAGAAAGTCAAATCACCTTTCGGAAAAACACCTTTGGGGGACCCCCCAATCTAGTGTATGGTCGAGGTAATCCTCGACTTATAACCACTGTTGCTAAGTGAGACATTTGCTAAGTGAGCTTGGTTTTCCATTTTACGACCTTTCCTGCCACCGTTGTTAAGTGAATCCCTGCAAGTTGTTAACTTAGTCACAGGGTTGTTAAATGAAACTGGCTTTCCCCATTGCTCGTCAAAAGGTCGCAAAAAGGAATCACGTTATTCCGGGACATAGCAACTATCATAAATATGAGTCAGTGGCCAAGTGGCTGAATTTTAATCACGTGACTATGGGAGATGCAGGAATGGTTGTAAGTGGGAAAAATACTTCTAAGTTACTTTTTTTCTGTGCCGTAATTTCAAACGGTCACTAAATGAACTGTTGTAAGTCAAGGATTGCCTGTAAACCCATTCACATTTTCTTTAACAGGCGACTGAAGCTGCAGATGGACCGGAGGAGGAGGAGAGGGGAAGAAAGAAAGGGAGAATTTGTGCTGGAAAAGTAGAGGAAGAAGGTCATTCCACGCAGGAGGAGAAAAGAGGAAGCAGAACCACAGAAGGTCTGGAGCAGGAGGATTTCAGAGGAACAGAAGAAGAGAGGAATAATGACAAGCAGTTGGAGCAGAACGTTGGACCAGGAGACGGAGAAGATGGGGTGGACAGGAGAAGATCTGAGCAGAACATTGAGGTCAAGACGGAGAAGGAGTGGGAAGGCGAGAGAGAGGTGGACAGAGAATGGACAGGTGAGGAAATCCCTCAGTTGGGAAAAGAGATGGAAGAAAGGACAGAAGATGAGTCTGGATTTAGGTCACCATTTGAGATCAAGCTGGAAGGTGACTCTGAAGAAGAAGAAGGGACAGGAGACCAAGGAACCCTACAAGATGGAGTTGAGAAAAAGACCAAGAGAAGCAGAAGCAAAAGAGGCGTTCGAAATGTAGAATTTCTCAGGGGATCCCGGAAAAGGAAAAATGAGGAAGTGGACAAGACTTTGAAGAAGAAGAAAAAGAAGAAGGATGAAGGAAACTGTGGGAGAAGATCAAAAGCCGAGGAGGACAAGTGGAGATGGTACGTTGCTGGTTTAAGTGATTTGTGATTTTGATGGCAAACGTTTTCGATGTTAAATCTCTGCTGTTGAAGTCCCCCCACCTGATTTTATACAGATAGAGTAGATGGAAGGGACCTTGGAGGTCTTCTAGTCTAGCCCCCTGTTCAAGCAGAAGAACGTCCTATACTATTTCAGATAAGTGATTGTCTAATCTCTTCTTAAAAACCTCCAGTGATGGAGCACCCACAATTTCTGGAAGCAAACTAATAGAGAAAAACAGGACTGCTGTTACTTTTTCAACATCAAAGTGCCACCGCTCCCCAATATTTTTGGGGAGTTTTATTTATTTATTTATTTATTTTCTTTAATTTGTATACCACCCTTCTCCAACAGGATTCAGGGCGGTGAACAGCCATGGTAAAACATAACATATAAAATTTAAAAGCAATTTAAAAAACATTAAATAATTTTGGCTATTCATTTAAAACAACCCGGATTAAAACCAATTACAAATTAAGTTAGTTTGAGTTAGTTAGGTTAAGATTGATGTATTGAATTTGCAAGGGTTTCTACATTTATTTGAAAAAGCATTGAAAAGCAATGAGCTGGGTAATAAGAATAGAACAGAACAGAAAGAGAACAGAATAGAATAATAGAATTCTTTATTGGCCAAGTGTGATTGGACATACAAGGAATTTGTCTTTGGTGCATATACTTTCAGTGTACATAAAAGAAAAGATATATTTGTCAAGAATCATAAGGTACAACACTTAATGATAGTCATAGGGAACAAATAAGCAATCAAATCATATTAGGAAACAGTCAATATAAATTGTAAGGATACCAGCAACAAGGTTACAGACATACAGTCATAAGTGGGAGGAGATGGGTGATAGGAACAATGAGAAGACCAATAGTAATAGTAATGCAGACTTAGTAAATAGTTTGACAGTGTTGAGGGAATTGTTTGTTTAGCAGAGTGATGGTGTTTGGGAAAAAAACTGTCCTTGTGTCTAGTTGTTCTGGTGTGCAGTGCTCTATAGCGTCATTTTGAGGGTAGGAGTTGAAACAGTTTATGTCCAGGATGCAAGGGGGTCTGTCAATATTTTCCCAGCCCTCTTTTTGACTCGTGCAGTAGACAGGTCCTCCATGGAAGGCAGGTTGGTAGCCATTGTTTTTTCTGCAGTTCTAATTATCCTTTGAAGTCTGTGTCTGTCTTGTTGGATTGCAGAAGCAAACCACCAAACTCACTGAATGATCAGTAAGTTATAAGTTAAGTATAAAAAAAGTTGTAAGCCTTACAATGCAATGAGTTTATCTTACCTAGGTGCTACCAGACTTTTTCTGAATTTGTTTGTTGTTGCTTCTGATTTCTTTCTTTCTTTCTTTTTTTTGGTTGTTGTAGACTCTCCTAGAATATTTACAAAAAGTTTCATAATTATTATGCTGCTTTATTCCTGCTATTCTTCTATTTATCCACCAGATGTCATCTAAGAGTTGTGTTTTGAGTTTCTGGTAGTTCTTTCAGTCTGGTGCCTTGGACTACAACTCTCAGAATGCATTGGTGTCTGGACTACAACTCCCAGAAGGTGCTGCCACGTTGGATTCTGTGGAACAGCCCATCTAGAGAGCACAGAGTTGGGGCAAACTGTTAGACATATGCATCGCTCCTTAAAATAGTGAGGATCACCTTCCAACAGAATTACTGGCTGCATTAAAATTGCAATTTTGAATTGCAATTAAAGATCAGAGGGAAGCACCTTTTCCAACTGACAAATTTTATTGCAGGATGAAAGCTTTGGGGATTGCTTAGAGTTCAGCTGATCCCGGTTTAAATCCCACCTCAATCTAGCGCAAAGTTTCTTAAAACTTTAAGATGGGTGGATTTCAACTCCCAGAATCCCCCAGCCATCCTCTCTGTGCATCTGATCAAGAGAACTACAGCTGAGTAAAGGTGTCCCCTTCTTGACGAACATGGTTCTCCTCCTCCTCCTCCTCCGTTTGCAATCAGTTGGAACAGCCATCCTGTAGACTTTTACTCCTGAGTAATCCCATCTGAGCCTATTTGCTGCCTTCTGAGCCAATGTGTCAGAAAATGGGGTATATAACTGCAAAGTTTCTCATTCTCGGTTCCTTTAAAATGGGTGGACTCCCAGAATTCCCCAGCCAGCATTCTGGGATTTGGAGTCCACACATATTTACACATATTTCCTGGCTGGGGAATTCTGGGAGTTCAAAACCCACCCACCCACCTTAAAAGTCCACCCGCCTTAAAGCATTGCTGGCTGGGGAATTCTGGGAGTTCAAAACCCACCCACCCACCTTAAAGTCCACCCCCCTTAAAGCATGCTGGCTGGGGTAAGGTAATTCTGGGAGTTAAAGCCCACCCCCCTTAAAGCATGCTGGCTGGGGAATTCTGGGAGTTCAAAACCCACCCACCCACCTTAAAGTCCACCCCCCTTAAAGCATGCTGGCTGGGGTAAGGTAATTCTGGGAGTTAAAGCCCACCCCCCTTAAAGCATGCTGGCTGGGGAATTCTGGGAGTTCAAAACCCACCCACCCACCTTAAAGTCCACCCCCCTTAAAGCATGCTGGCTGGGGTAAGGTAATTCTGGGAGTTAAAGCCCACCCCCCTTAAAGCATGCTGGCTGGGGAATTCTGGGAGTTCAAAACCCACCCACCCACCTTAAAGTCCACCCGCCTTAAAGCATTGCTGGCTGGGGAATTCTGGGAGTTCAAAACCCACCCACCCACCTTAAAGTCCACCCGCCTTAAAGCATTGCTGGCTGGGGTAAGGTAATTCTGGGAGTTAAAGCCCACCCCCCTTAAAGCATGCTGGCTGGGGAATTCTGGGAGTTCAAAACCCACCCACCCACCTTAAAGTCCACCCCCCTTAAAGCATGCTGGCTGGGGAATTCTGGGAGTTCAAAACCCACCCACCCACCTTAAAGTCCACCCCCCTTAAGCATGCTGGCTGGGGTAAGGTAATTCTGGGAGTTAAAGCCCACCCCACTTAAAGCATGCTAGCTGGGGAATTCTGGGATTTGAAGCCCACCCCCCTTAAAGCATGCTGGCTGGGGAATTCTGAGAGTTCAAAACCCACCCACCCACCTTAAAGCCCACCCCCCTTAAAGCATGCTGGCTGGGGAATTCTGGGAGTTAAAGCCCATCCCCCTTAAAGTATGCTGGTGGGGTAATTCCGGGATTTGAAGCCCACCCCCCTTAAAGCATGCTAGCTGGGGAATTCTTGGGATTTGAAGCCCACCCCCCTTAAATCATGCTGCCTGGTTAATTCTGGGATTTGAAGCTCACCCCCCTTAAATCATGCTGCCTGGGTAATTCTGGGATTTGAAGCCCACCCCCTTAAATCATGCTGCCTGGTTAATTCTGGGATTTGAAGCCCACCCCCCTTAAATCATGCTGCCTGGGTAATTCTGGGATTTGAAGCCCACCCCCCTTAAAGCATGCAGCTGGGGAATTCTGGGATTTGAAGCCCACCCCCCTTAAATCATGCTAGCTGGGGAATTCTGGGATTTGAAGCCCACCCCCCTTATTAAACCGGGCAAAGTTGAGAAACACTGGATCACAGCATAACTTCCTGACTAGGAAAGACGCCTGTCTCTTTAAGCGAGCTCCATTGCTCTGGGATCTATTACTTACCCCTAAGCCAGCAAATCCTTAATAGGACTACATTTCCCAGATGCCTCGGGACATGGCCATTGAGTGGGTGGGTCGGTGGGTCGGTGGGTGGACTTGCACCAGAGCCTCCCAGCAAAAAGACCCACGGTGGGCTACCTCCTTTTTGCACCATGCCTCGTGCAGGAAAAGGCATCCCGCCAACCCTGTTTCATTTTGCAAAATTAAATATATCTCTATATATTTTGCAAAAATAGGGATTGCTAAAGCATCGCCCAATCCCTCCATGTGGCCAGCTGCACATGACTGGGCTGGCAAGGCATGCTCAAGCATGGGCACAGCCTGGCACAGTGGGCACGCTCCCCTCGCCAGGTTGCCCCTCTGACTCTAACCCGGATTTGTGCAGCCTGCATCAGAGTGCTGGTCCCCAAAGCCAGGTACTGCGAATTCCAGGTTTGCCAGCGGAGACACGTGTTTTGCCGGTGTGCATGGGGCGGGCATGAGCTGGGGAGGGTCTCCAGCGTTGCTGGGCATAAAGCATGAAAGAGGAGGCTGCTTTGAAGCTCTGTGTAATCATTTTCTTTGGATTTTGCTGCATTTTTTTTTCCAAGTGGGGTGCTAGAACTGGAAAGAGTATACAGTAGTGGCCAAAATTGTGGGAACCTTTTGGGAAAAGTTGTATTTTTTTTTTTCTTAATTTGATTTATATGCCGCCCTTCTCCGGAGACTCAGGGCGGCTTACAGTGCGTTAAGCAATAGCCTTCATCCTTTTGTATATTTATACAAAGTCAGCTTATTGCCCTCACAAACTGGGTCCTCATTTAACCTACCTTAGAAAGGATGGAAGGCTGAGTCAACCTTGAGCCTGGTAAGATTCGAACCTGCAGAAATTGCAGGCAGCTGTATTAATAACAGGGTGCATTAAACCACTGTACTACCAAGGCTCTTTTGGAAGTTTGATGGTTAATAACTACAACTTTTTTTTTTTTTGGAATTTCAAGATAATCCTATTCCACTCCTGGAACAGCCTGGGAATAGCCCAGACCTTCTTAACCCAATTGGAAATCGATGGTATTGTAATTGGTATTAATTGAATTAAGATCTAAGTGGATTAATAGAAGGGTAATTGTTTTGATCAAGTTAATATGAGTTAGCTTTCTATAACTTTACTTTACTTTTATTTGATTTATATACCACCCTACTCCCGAAGGACTCAGGGCGGTGAACAGCCAACAATAAAATACATATATACAAAATTTAAAAAGCAGAGATAAAATCGAATTAAATAGTTTGGCCCAGACGGTAATAGTTGGGATATGTGATAAGTGTCAAGGCAAAAATAGAATATATAAAGTTTTGTTAAAAGATGAACAAAAAGTTGAACAAATTTATCAATGCTCTGTTCCTAAAAGATGTATTGTATGTTTATTTGTGTGTTTTAAAAAATTTAAAAAAAATTGCAAAAAAAAAAAAAAAATCTAGGGAGCCGGCTAAAGAAACTTGTTAGTCAGAACTTGCGACCCAGCGATAAAACCCAATTCATAGAAGCCATCATTCAATCTTGGTTTCACATTAGAACAGCTGCAGAACTCAAAGTCTTGGTTCACTCCATGGGAAGACGTTGTAAGGCCGTAATTCATGCTAAAGGTTACCCAACTAAGGATTAACTGAGATGGGGATCATTTTCGTATATCTCATTTTTTTCTATGGTGATCATTTTTATACATCTCGTTTTTTCTATGGTGATAATTTTTGTATATCTCTTTTTTCTATGGTGATAATTTTTGTACATCTTGTTTTTTCTATGGTGATAATTTTTGTACATCTCGTTTTTTTCTATGGTGATAATTTTTGTACATCTCGTTTTTTCTATGGTGATAATTTTTGTACATCTCGTTTTTTCTACGTGTTTCACTTTTCTTCTTTATACCGTAACTGCTATTCTAGTAGCAAATCCTTTCTAAAAGTTATTGCATTACATTCTTGATTCAATTATCTTTCCATTGATATATAATTTTATGGTAAAAGGTAAAGGTAAAGGTTCCCCTCACCCATATGTGCTAGTCGTTCCCGACTCTAGGGGGCAGTGCTCATCTCCGTTTCAAAGCCGAAGAGCCAGCGCTGTCCGAAGACGTCTCCGTGGTCATGTGGCCAGCATGACTCAACACCGAGGGCACACGGAACGCTGTTACCTTCTTATTTTATGGTACTACTTCCCCAAAAAGTGGTGTTATTAGCCATCAAACCTCAAAAATATACTTTTCCCAAAAGGTTTCCACAATTTTGGCCACTACTGTAGGAGGTGAGGTGAGGTTTTTCCCCCATGCCAGGGGTCTGCAACCTTAAACACTCAAAGAGTCATTTGGACCTGTTTCCCACAGAAAAGAAAACACCGGGAGCCACAAAAACCTTCCCATGCCTGACTATTTCTTGAGTGGCCACAAAACTAGCATATGTAGTTGAATTAAACATTCTGTTTTCTTCTGAAACTTTTCTTTTCTTGGATTTATCCATGGTTGGCCTACCGGAGATTGAAAAGCTCAATAAATCGCGTGCTGGCGGGTGTCGCACATTAACAGTTGTGATGCATATTTTGAGTGATGGAGAGCCGCAGCAGAGGGGTGAAAGAGCCACATACGGCTCCAGAGCCGTAGGTTGCTGACCCCTGCCCCATGCCATCACTCTGCTAAACAACCAATTTCCACAATACTGTTGCAACTATTTAGTAAGGCTGTATTACTATTCTTCTCCTCATCTATCCTATTATCTGTCTCCTTCTCTACTTATGACTATAACTTTGTTGCTTTGTAGCTGTACGATTTATATTGATTTATTTAGTTTCCTAGTATGATTTATGACTATCACTAAGTGTTGTATCTTATGACTATGATGAATGTATTTTTATGATGACTATATGATCATGATTGATCACTTATAACTATTATGTACCCTGAGAGTTTATGCACCGAAGACAAATTCCTTGTGTGTCCAATCACGCTTGGCCAATAACGAATTCTATTATCTATTCTAGCCAATTATTCTTAGTGGAACTATGGCTTAATTTTGGAAATTGTGGAATCATAAGGGCTGGAAGGGACTTTGGAGGTCTTCTAGTCCAACCCTTGCCCAAGGCACTAGTCCTCAGTACTTTTATTTTATTTATTTTTTTTAAAAATACTGCTTCCCAGGAATGTGGTAAGCTGATTGAAATCCTGCATGCTTTTCTCGATGCAAGTTAAAACTGTTTTGTTTTCTGCAGCTCTCTCTTTGAGAGTCACAGTTAGCTTGTATAAAATCGTTTATCAGGTTCTTGGTCTTCTTGGATGACATTAACACTTTCTAAATTTCTTCTCTCCAGGTGGGAAGAGGATAAACGAGACGATGGGGTCAAATGGCATAAGTTGCACCACAAAGGACCCTACTTTGCTGCACCCTACGAGCCTCTGCCAAACTCCGTCAAGTTCTACTACAATGGTAGGTGGTCTTCTCTGGATTTGCATCCAAGGTGGAGTCCCAGAGGTGTCTTTTTTGGGAAGCACCTTTGGGACAACCATGACCTGGATGACTGAGAATCTCTACAGACATCCGAGGTGGAGGAGAATGATGGCTTCTCTTGAGCTTCGTAGACGGTTGGAGAGAAGAGTTGGCCCTTACTGGGATGGGAGGTTAGCCATACCCCCACCTGATCACTGCATGGTCACCCCCTTCTGTTGTAGGCAGGCCTATGAAACTCAGCCGGGCCACCGAGGAAGTGGCCACGTTTTTCGCCAAGATGCTGGATGATGATTACGCACGCAAGAAGATTTTCCGGGACAACTTTTTCTGTGACTGGATGCAGGTATCCACCAGGGGTGGTTTTGGCAGCTATTTGGGAGATTATTATAGGGAAAATTCCCCTCCCCCCCCAAAAAAGCAGAATGATGGAAAGGTGGAACTGACAGGTAGGAAGATGAGACTGCTTAGGACAGAGTGTCCAAACTTGGCAACTTTAATGTGGACTTCAACTCCCAGAATTCATCTTTAAGACTTGTGATCTTCAACTCCCAGAATTCATCTTTAAGACTTTATTTATTTATTTATTTGTTTTTAAATTTGTATACCTGAGGACTCAGGGCGGTGAACAGCCAAATAAAAACATAAACTACAAACATTAAAATACAATTAAAAAGATATATATAAATTTGGCCCCATGATTAAAAACTCCCAGAATTCAACTTTAAGATTTGTGGACTTCAATTCCCAGAATTCCCCAGCCAGCCAGCTGGGGAATTCTGGGATTTGAAGTCCACAAGTCTTAAAGTTGCAAAGTTTGGAGAGCCCTGGCATAGGAAATCCCTCTTGGTAATTCTGTTTTTTATATCTGCTTCTTCAAGTGGTTATACTGGCTAGGGGATTCTGGGAATTGAAGTCCACACTTCTCAAAGTAGTCATGCTAGCTAGGCCAATTGTGGGAATCAAAGTCCATACTTCTTAAAGTAAGGCATGCTGTCTGGGAAATTCTGGGAGTTGAAGTCCATGTTGCTTAAAGTGGCTATGTTGCACAGGGAATTCTGGGAATTGAAGTCCATACTTCTTACGTCGCCAAGATTGAGAAATCATGGTTTAGAAGGTATCTTATTGAGGATAACTTGTTTTCTAAGTCATGTACAGCTTTAGCACTTAGATGGCCTCCTCCTTTTCCTGTGTAGGTGATGACTCCTCAGGAAAGGAAGAAAATCAAAGACCTGAAGAGGTGCGATTTCAGCGACATCCATAGCTATTTTCTGGAAAAGCAAGAAGCCCAGAAGGCTTTGCCCAAGGAAGAGAAACAGGTACAGACATGATTGACGGTTGGTACAAGCTGAGGTAACAGTAACAGAGTTGGAAGGGACCTTGGAGGTCATCTAGTCCAATCCCCTGCTCACGCAGGAGACCTGTACTAGGGATTCGAACCGCTTTTTCACTCCTCGTTGAAACTCTGAAGGAAGTCTAGTTTTGATTCTGCTCTCTTGTTTATGTGCACGAAAGATCCAGAAACACTGAGAGGGCAAGCCACATGTATAGAAACAGAGAGTAAACTCACTCCCTTCTAGCACTGATGATGTTATCTAGTTGGGTCATAAAAAGTCTTCAAGAAAACAACCAAGCTCAGAGAACATCAAGGATCCCCACAGTCATCCTCCCCCTGTTTCACTTAGCAACAGAAGTTTTGGGCTCGCTTGGTTGTAAGTCGAGGACTATCTGTAATTACTTATTTTTGTCCATCCTTTTAATAGAGGTTGAAAGAGGAGGCAGAAAGAATCCAAGAGAAATACGGCTACTGCGTAATTGATGGGCATCGGGAGAAGATCGGGAACTTCAAGATCGAGCCTCCGGGTTTATTCCGGGGCCGTGGGAATCACCCCAAAATGGGGATGCTGAAGAAGAGGATAATGCCAGAAGACGTCATCATCAACTGTAGCAAGTGAGTCTGGCATTGTTTTCCATGGCAACGTTTCTGCAGCTTGGCAATTTTTTAGGATGGGTGAACTTCAACTCCCAGAATTCCCCAGTCAGCATGCTTTAAGATTGACAGCGAAGGACTTAATGTTCTCCCTTCCTCTCCTCTCCTTATTTAAAAATTCTGTTCTGGTTCTGTTTTGTTAATTGAAAGAGAGCCAGTTTGCCGTAGTAGTGAAGGCACCAGGCTAGGAGACGGTGAGTTCTAGTCTTGCCTTAGGCCTGAAAGCTGGCTGGTGACTTTTGGCCAATCTCTGGAAGATTGTGAGTTCTAGTCCTGTCTTAAGTTTGAAAGCTGGCTGGGTGACTTTAAGTCAATCACCAGGAGAACGGTGAGTTCTAGTCCAAACTTTAGGCATGGAAGCTGGCTGGGTGACTTTGGGCCAATCCCTAGAAGACTGTGAGTTCTAGTCTTGTCTTAGATATGAAAGCCAGACCTTGGGCCTATCAATAGGAGACAGTATGTTTAGTTCTGCCTTAGGCGTGAAGTTGGTCCGATCACCAGGAGATGGTGAGTTCTAGTCCAACTTTAGGCATGGAAGCTGGCTGGGTGACTTTAGCCAGTCACCAGGAGACTGTGAGTTCTAGACCTGCCTTAAGCATGAAAGCCAGCTGGGTGACTTTGGGCCTATCAATAGGAGACGGTGAGTTCTAGTCTTGCCTTAGGCCTGAAAGCTGGCTGGGTGACTTTTGGCCAATCTCTGGAAGATTGTGAGTTCTAGTCCTGTCTTAAGTTTGAAAGCTGGCTGGGTGACTTTAAGTCAATCACCAGGAGACGGTGAGTTCTAGTCCAAACTTTAGGCATGGAAGCTGGCTGGGTGACTTTGGGCCAATCCCTAGAAGACTGTGAGTTCTAGTCTTGTCTTAGGTATGAAAGCCAGACCTTGGGCCTATCAATAGGAGACAGTATGTTTAGTTCTGCCTTAGGCGTGAAGTTGGTCCGATCACCAGGAGACGGTGAGTTCTAGTCCTGCCTTAGGCATGAAAGTTAGCTGGGTGACCTTGAGCCTATCAATAGGAGATGGTGAGTTCTAGTCCAACTTTAGGCATGGAAGTTGGCTGGGTGACTTTAGGCCAATCACCAGGAGACGGTGAGTTCTAGTCCTGCCTTAGGCATGGAAGCCAACTGGGTGACTTTAGGCCAATCACCAGGAGACTGTGAGTTCTAGACCTGCCTTAAGCATGAAAGCCAGCTGGGTGACCTTGAGCCTATCAATAGGAGACGTGAGTTCTAGTCCAACTTTAGGCATGGAAGTTGGCTGGGTGACTTTAGGCCAATCACCAGGAGACTGGGAGTTCTAGTTCTGCCTTAAGCATGAAAGCCAGCTGGGTGACCTTGGGCTATCAATAGGAGATGGTGAGTTCTAGTCCAACTTTAGGCATGGAAGCTGGCTGGGTGACTTTGGCCAGTCACCAGGAGATGATGAGTTCTAGTCCTGCCTAAGTCATGGAAGCCAACTGGGTGACTTTAGGATGATCACCAGGAGACCGGGAATTCTAGTCCTGCCTTAAGCATGAAAGCCATCTGGGTGACCTTGGGCCTATCAATAGGAGACGGTGAGTTCTAGTCCTGCCTTAGGCATGGGTGACCCAATTCCTAACATAGAGTGTGGAGAGATTTTTATGGAAGAGGGTCTCTACCATGCTTGAATTGTCTTCTTCCTCTCCTGCTTACTTTTTAAACTTCTAAACCCTCCCTGTGTTTTTCCTCCCCTTTTTCCTTCTCCCTGCCAGAGATTCAAAGATCCCCCGGCCTCCGCGTGGTCATAAGTGGAGGGAAGTCAGGTGTGACAACACAGTCACCTGGTTGGCATCTTGGACTGAGAACATCCAGGGGTCCATCAAGTATATCATGTTGAACCCGAGTTCCAAGCTGAAGGTGAGGCCCATCATTACCTACCTTTGGAGTTGGTTACTCCAAATGCCAGGTGCCTGTTAGGTACAGGTGGACCTCGACTTACCACAGGTCGCTTAGTGACTCTTCGAAGTTACGACGGCAGTGAAAAAAGTGACTCTTTATGACCGTTTTTCACACTTACGACCCGTCGCAGCCATCCCCGTGGTCACGTGATCTAAATTCAGACCCTCGGCACAACTGGCTCATATTTATGATGGTCACAATGTCCTGGAGACCTTCCGACAGGAAACCAGATTCACTTAACAACCCTATTCTTAACAGCTGGTGTGATTCGCTTAACGGCGGTGGCAGAAAAGGTCGTAAAATGGGACAAGGCTCACTTCACAACGGTCTCGCTTAACAACAGAAATTTGAGGGACTTCCCCATTGACTTGGCTTGTCAGACGGTCGCAAAAGGGGATCACGTGACACCTCCCCCCTCCCCCCGGGATGCTGCAACCGTCATAAATATGAGCTTGTTTCCAAGTGTCCCAATTTTGATTACTTGATCATGGAAATGCTGCAACGGTTGTTAAGTATGAAATTGGTCATAATTCACTTTTTTTTCCAGTGCCGTTGTAACGGAATGGTCTCTAAATGAATGGTTGTAAGTTAAGGACTAATTGAGGTCAACACACATGAAAAGGGGGAGGGGCTTTAGTCATGCATGTGAGAGACTTCTCTCTCTCTGTCTCTCTCTCTCCCCCTTCTCTCTTTTTGTCTTTCTCTTTCTGTCTCTCCCTTTCTGTCACTGTTTCTCTCCCTCTCTTTCTCTCTCTCCTCTCTGTTTGTTTCTGTCTTTCTTTCTCTCTGTCTCTCTCTTTCTCTACCTTTCTCTCTTTCCTCTCCGTTTCTCTTTCTGTCTTTCTTTCTCTTTCTGTCTCTCTGTCTCTCTTTCTCTACCTTTCTCTCTTTCCTCTCCGTTTCTCTTTCTGTCTTTCTCTCTCTATCTTCTTTCTTTCTCTCTTTCTGTCACTGTTTCTCTCCCTCTTTTTCGCTTTCCTCTCTCTTCCTCTTTCCATCTTCCTCTTTCTCTCTTTCTCTCTGTCTCTCCCCCCTTTCTCTCTTTTTCTGTCTTTCTCTCTGTCTCTCACTTTCTGTTACTGTTTCTCTTTCTCTCTTTCTCTCTCTGTTTGTTTCTGTCTTTCTCTCTGTCTCTGTCTTTCTGTCTTTCTCTTTCTGTCTCTCTCTCTCTCTCTCTCCCTTTCTCTCTTTCCTCTCTGTTTCTCTTTCTCTCTTTCTCTCCTCTGTTTGTTTCTGTCTTTCTCTCTGTCTCTGTCTTTCTGTCTTTCTCTTTCTGTCTCTCTGTCTCTCTCTCCCCCTTTCTCTCTTTCCTCTCTGTTTCTCTTTCTGTCTTTCTCTCTCTTTCTGTCTTTTTCTTTCTCTCTTTCTGTCACTGTTTCTCTCTTTTCCTCTTTCCTCTTTCTCTTTCTGTCTTCCTCTTTCTCTGTGTCTCTCCCCCTTTCTCTCTCTTTCTGTCTTTCTCTTTCTGTCTCTCTTTCTGTCACTGTTTCTCTCCCTCTCTTTCTCCTCTCTCTTTCTTTCTCTTTCTCTCTCTCTCTCTATGCCCCTCTTTGTCTCTCTTTTTCTCTCTCCCTCTCTTTCTCTTTTCTCTCTTTGTCTCTTCCCCTTTCTGTCTCTGTTTCTTTCCCTCCCTCTCCTTTCTCTGTGTGTCACACACACACACACACACACACACACACACACACACACACACACACACAGATGGGCCTTTTCAGAACCACTAGCCTCACAACCTTCCTCTTTTCTTGCAGGGCGAGAAAGACTGGCAAAAATACGAAGTGGCTCGTCGGTTGAAGAAGCTGGTTCACCGGATCCGACGTCAGTACCGGGCAGACTGGAAATCCAAGGAGCTGAAGAAGCGGCAAATATCCGTGGCGCTCTATTTCATCGATAAGGTAAGGATAAGGGCATTTCAGCACCGAGTTTATCGCTGCCCAAATGGTTGGCATCCTTCCTGGCATCTCTTCCCAAAGATCATGTAGAGGTGGACTTGAAACCCACCGAAGAGAATATTTGTCACTCGGGTTTGAACGATGAAGTCCTTGGTCCTCTCCGAGTTTAGTTGCTTTCTTGCGGACGTTTCATGACCCAGCTAGGGTACATCTTCAGTGCTAGAAGGGAGTTGGGTTTGTGGGGAGGAGGAGGAGGAGGATTGTGGGGGTCATTAGTGCTAGGATGTTGGGTAATGAAATATCTGCAAGGAAACATGGGCGGGTTTTCTGGTCAGCTCTGGACTTCCGGTTAGGATTGGTAGAGGAAAAAGGACGCCGCGCTAGGAGGAGACTCTATGGTGGGGGAACCGGACTTCCGGTCGGTTCCAGAATTGAGCGGGGGGCTTCCGGTTAGGACCTTTGTGGCTCTTTGAGGCTCTTTGAGAGCATATGCACCAAGACAAATTCCTTGTGCGTCCAATCACACTTTGCCAATAAAAAATTCTATGCCATGCCATGCCATGCTAGGTTGCCAACCCCTGGTATAGTGCAATATTAATGCAATATCAGAGGTTTTTAATTCAATTGCATAGAATGTGAAGGATGTGTGTTTTTGGTTTTATTTTTTTAAGTGTAATGTGTTCTGTCCCCGTCTCCACACACACAAACACAGCCAGCCGAGGGTTAAGAAAGCACTTGGCACGCACACAGGTTGTTATCTAAAACTCGGCAGCTATACGAGCATCGACTGCCAAGGGCTTTACTTCATCAGATAAACAGAAAATACATACAAATTGCAAATAGTCCAGTTCAAAACAAGGAACCTTTGGCAGATTTAGGCGTTGTTCAAGTGACTACCCAGAGTTAGTTTTTTGTCCGCCACAGAGTCTTAAACGGCCACCACACTCTCTTATATAGTCTCTGGGGTGTGGTCCAGTGACTCAGTTATAATCCCTGGCACGCCTCCTTAACTGCTGCAACCGTTTATCACGCCTTCGTTGGCGTGGATCCAGGAACGACAGATCGCCTCCCTCGCTCTCATCGGAGACACCTGGCTCCTGGCTAATCTCCTCTTCCTCAGCCGGCACTTGAGGCAGTGCCAGAGGGGAGGGGCCTGGAGAGGGAGGCCTGGCCGACTCCTCTTCTTCATGTTCGGAGCCTTCTTCCTCCAATGAGATAGGCTCGGAGGGCGGGGCCACAACAGTAATGTACACTGAAAATGGCATTTAATTTCGTTGTACGAGGTGCAATGACAATAAAGTAAAGATCCCCCTTCTTTGTCTCTTTCCAGCTGGCCCTGAGGACGGGGAACGAGAAGGAGGAAGGGGAGACAGCCGACACGGTGGGCTGTTGCTCTTTGCGAGTAGAACACATCGCTCTGCACTCACGGCGGGGAGGCAAGGAGAACGTGGTGGAGTTTGACTTCCTGGGTAAAGACTGCATCCGTTACTACAACGAGGTGTCCGTGGAGAAGCAGGTGAGCCAGGAGGGGGCCCGATCCAACTGAGCGCTTCCAAAGAGCATAGCTTCCCTAGAGCTTAGGCTGACCGTTGCCAGTCTGGGATCTGGTAATATGGAAATTGTAGTTCCAAAATACCTGGAAGAACCCCATTCTCTGGGAAAATCGCCAGCAGGATCAGCCAATCAGTGGAAGGACTTGCCTTCTGAAGTTGTGGGTGCTTCATCACTGGAGGTTTTTTAAAAAGGGATAGTCCGCTACTTATCTGAAATTGTTCTGCCCCAGTTCCGGATCCCAAGGAGTGTGATACACACACAGCTCCAAAAACTCCGTTTAATACAAACAGACCCCTTTCAAAATGCAGGCTTTCAGTGCAAATGTCCTTATCTATGAATTGCTATGAATTACAGAGAATAAACAAAGTCCGACAAGGGTTGGCAACCAGCCCAGAAACCACGATGTAACAAGAAACTCACTCTCAAAATGCTCTGCATAGTAATTAAACGTTGTTTCCAGCAACGTTTGCTATCTGTGTGTGAACTTAAATAGGCTAAGGGAGTGGCCAATTATCCTCAAGCCCTACTCTCGAGGAGACCTCCTCCTCCTGAGTAGCCACTCCTGCCTTTTAGCAGCCCTGCGTGCCCGAGCATTGAGGAGAGGCTCCTCCACTTCACTCTCTTCACTTGAAGGAGCCTCTGGAGGTTCTGAAGGCCCTGGCTGAGTCTCTGCCTCTGGCACCACATCCACTTCAGCCTCCTTGTTGTCTGACTCGAGCTGGCGGGCCACAACAGGAATGGTGTAGGGCAGTGATGGCTAATCTTTTTGTTGTTGTGTGCCGAAAGCGTGTGTGTGTGTGCGAACCTGTAATGCAATGCACATGCGACTCCCCGCTCTCCTCCTGCGCATGCGTGCGTGAGCCCCTGTGCTCCCCCCGCCCCCCCGTGCATGCACGCGCTTTCGTAATTAGGATTTTAATTATCTGTTTCCCCCCTCCCCCTCTCCTTGGTTGTTCAGGGTATCTGGAATGGAATTTCTTTATCCGCTTAGCTGCTCTAACCTTATTCGTAGCTACGCATTGTGCCTCCGCAAGAGAGTATCCTTTCCACCTTACTCGATATTGCAGCTTTCCTCTACAACAGTGTTTCTCAACCTTGGCAACTTGAAGATGAGTGGACTTCAACTCCCAGAATTCCCCAGCCATAGCTGGCTGGGGAATTCTGAGAGTTGAAGTCCACTCATCTTCAAGTTGCCAAGGTTGAGAAACACTGCTCTACAATATCTAGACTCCAAAGTTGAAGATCTCTTCCCCAGAAGATACATGCCTGTTTCTTCTGGGGCCTCCATCTTGTGGTTGCCGCAAGATGGAACTGATCTGCACTTCGTCCATTTTCTGAATTCGCTGTTCCAACATCTGCCCTTGGTTTGACTTTCAGCCAGGTGGCCTCCAACAGTCGATGATCTTGGATCTCCTTCCTTCTTACCCCAAGTCTCTCTCCACAGTGACACAGTGTCACTGTGTCCACAATGTCCACAGTGGTGTTTTAGATGCTGTGAATTCTTTGAGGGCCTTACTGTGAGATCTGTCTTTGCTGTAGGTGTTCAAGAACTTGCAGTTGTTCATGGAGGAGAAAGAACCTGGAGACAACCTCTTCGATAAGCTTTCTGTAAGTGCATGTTGACTTGTCAGAATTGTTGCAGCACATCCGACCAGCACACTAAACGAACTTCAGCAGGATTCAAATTTTACATATAAGAAACTTCAGCATACAAAATCAGGAACACAGGAGCAATATTCATAGAAGCAAGTCGTTACAGAGTAGAGAGAGATACACAGAGGCTAATATATTGTACAGAGGCAGCCATTACAGAGGCCAAATCAACTCTTACATACAGTTCAGCAAGTCTAAGCCACGCCCAGGCTCCAGACTCTCTCTTATCGCCCCATACAAACACTCTGTTTCAGTTTCCAAACAGTCCCCATTGGCTGACCTGTTGCCTATTCCAGTCTGAATATTCACACTCTGACATGTCTTTCTTGAATTTTGCACTGCTGGCTGGCTTCCTTGTTTTCCTACTGAGAGTACACATTTGTATTCTCCTACTTCATTAGGTTTGAGGGAGAGGGAATCCAAGACATGATGACGTGAAATTATTTGATGGCTCAGTTTGCTTAAGCAAGTGGGGATCTAACTCAGAGTCACAAAAGTTTTTTTTTTTTTTCCAAGAGGCAAGTGGACTTCCTTGTTTTTTTCTTTGAAGACGTTTCGCTGTTGACCCAAGAAGCTTCTTCAGCTCTGACTGAATGGTGGAGACTGGAGATTAATGGGGATGTACTGTATATAGTTTGGGGTTCTGCAGTGGAAGAAGATAAAGATTCAACATAACTATTTGAATAGGGTGTTTTTTTTTTAATATCTTCCATTTGCATTTCAATTCCAAGTCTCATGATCTTCTAGTCCAGGGGTCTCCAGACTTGGCAACTTCAAGACTTCTGGACTTTAACTCCTAGAATTCCCCAGCCAGCCATTCCAAGTCTTAATGTTGCCAAGTTTGGAGACCCCCTGTCCTAGTCCATATGGCAGAAGTAGCTTACATTACCACCACAAAACTCTTTAGTAAGCTTTCTCTTGGGTTAAAAATGATGGGAAGGGGATTAATGCCAATCCCACAGCTACCTTTTAGGGAGAAAGGATTTATTTTTGAGTTGCATGAAAGATAGGGGTATTCCTGAGTTAAATTCCTACCTGTGCCTTCCTGAAATTGAAGGTCAACTGAGAGCTCTTACCTGGCCCACTATTTTTCCTGCTCCTCTTCTCTAACTTTACTCCCCACTTGCCTTTCCAGACAACAATGCTGAACAAACATCTCCAGGACCTGATGGATGGGTTGACAGCGAAAGTCTTCCGGACTTACAATGCGTCCATCACGCTGCAGGAACAGCTCGAAGCGCTGACCAATGGTAAATCAAATTGACACACCACCTTCTAAACCGTTCAGCTTTGGGGCCTCTGTTAACCCTAGCAGAATTTTTCAGCATCTCTGGAGAACTTTTGATGGGATATATTTTGGGGATGGAGCAGATAAATGGATTCACATTCCAAGTGGTAATGAGGTGGCTCAGTGGCTTAATGATGCTGGAGATCTTCTCTGCTCCAGCGGTTTGAGGCCTAGCACTGCGTGATGAGGTGAACTCCCGTCACTCAGCTTCAGCTTCTCTCCACCTAGCAGTTCGAGAGCATGTTCTATGCGAATAGATAAATAGGTACCACTTCGGTGGGAAGACCAGTTGGTGCTCTGTGCAGGCAGTCAGATTCACATACCGGCTCTGAACCTTCCCGGTTGCGATGCCCATTTTTGAGATGGTTCCGGTGGAGGGCGGTGGCCTAGGATAATGTTACGGGAAGAGCCACTTGTCCTTCTGGTGCGAAGCCAGCTTGCCTATCTGTGGCGCAGTAAGGGACGTAGACTTGTAGAAATTGCAGCTACATCCTAATCAGTTCATTGGTACTTGGTCTTCCTCTGATGCTAAGAGGAAGGGGATTGGGAGAGACATGTCATGAAACTTTCTCTTGTGAAGGACACTGTCAGTTTGATGACACTGATTACAATTAATCAGTGGAACGGGTTGCCTCCAGAAGTTGTGGGTGCTCCATTACTGGAGGCTTTTAAGAAGAGATTGGTCATGCATTTGTCCAGGATGGTATAGATCCTCCTGCTTGAGCTGGGGGTTGGACTAGAAGATCTCCAAGGTCCCTTCAACTCTGTTATTCTGATGATCTTGAGCTAATTTCCCACATATTGCACCCACAGAGAAGGACAGCCTGGCTGCTAAGCTCCTCTCCTACAACAGAGCCAACCGAGCAGTGGCCGTTTTGTGCAACCATCAGCGGGCAACTCCAAAGACCTACGAGAAGTCCATGAAGAACCTCCAGGCAAAGGTGAGAAAGTAATAAAAGAGGAGATGGAGACACGCGTGCATTTTGGTGGAGACTTCCGGGTGATTAATTTTGTGGCCGGTGTTAAGAAAGAAAAGATTTCTTTGCTAACTTATAATTGCTGGCAACCTGCAGTGTTGGGATCATGGCCTTCTAGGAGAGGGTTTTGGAGCTGATCAAGTGTTGGACAGCAGGAATGAGGAGAAGACAAGACCTAGACAGCAGGGAGGAAGGGACCACCTTGAGTTCCTGCATAGAATTTTCTTGAATCTGAAGGTGAGAAGGATCCATGGAGATCTTCTAGTCCCGTGATGACGAATCCATGGCACGTGTGCCCAAAGTGGCACACGAAGCCATGTCGCCCAGCTCACATGGCCTTGCCTGTTTGTCTTCTGGGTTTCTGGCGTGCATGTGCAGGCGACGATGAGCTCACGCGACAGTGCTGAAAACAGGTGTGTGCATGCACGCCGGCCAGCTGATTGTCGGGTGCACATACATGCCAGAATCCGGAAGTTCAGCTTTTCCGGAGCGCGATCCCTTCGTGTGTGTGGCAGTGCCGAAAACCGGCCTGCGCATTCACGCTGGCCAGCTGATCGTCGGGCGTGCATGTGCGCTAATGGAGCGTGGCCCTGACGAGTGTGTGTGCGTGCGTTCGACGTTTCCACACTCAGTGCCGAAAAGGTTCCCCATCACTGTTCTTGTCCAAACATCTGCCTGGGCAGGAATCTTCAGACCATCCTACACAATCTTTGCTCGAAAAATACAGATGGTCGAATTCTGGTTCCAATTGTGGTCATAAGTCAAGGACTAGGAATGTACCAGGAATGGAGACCTCGCATCTCCACCAGGCAGGCCGAGCCAATGATGTATAGCCGTTGAGGTCAGGAAATTCCTTACTTTCAGTTCAAAACTCCCTCTGAGATATTTCTACTCACTGGTTCTTCTCCTGCCCTTGGGCATTAGGAGATGAGTGGGGTCCTTCTTGAGCTTGGTTGATTTTCTTGCAGGTGTTTTGTTACCAAACTAGGTAACATCATCAGTGCTAGGAGGAAGGGGGGTTGCAGGGAGGAGGAGGAGGAGACTTGTGAGGTCCATAGTGCTCTCTGAACTTGGTTGTTTTCCTGCAGACGTTTCATTACCAAACTAGGTAACATTGTCAGTGCTAGAAGGGAAGGAGGTTTGTGAAGAGGAGGAGGATGATGACAATAAGGACGACAACTTGGGGTCTTTGATACTCTCTGAGTTTGGTTCTTTGCTTGCAGATACTTCATTTACCCAACTGGGGAACATTATCAGTGCTACGGACACATCATTAACCCTGATGATGTTCCCTAGCTGGGTCATGAAATGTCTGCAAGAAAACCAACAAGTTCAGAGGGCACCAAGGACGCCACCATTCAACCCTGAGCTACAGAAGGTTGAATTGTCTCTTCTGTTGATTATTAGGAGAATAAATCCTCACACTCTTCCCTGGAGTAGCCCTTCATGTATTAGGAAGATACCTGGGTCATATTATCATATGTGGTGGAAGTGCACAGAAGCCAAAAAATACTGGACAAAAATACATACTTGGTTGGAGAAGATGATACAACAACATACTGATTTGTAACCCGAAATATTTTTGTTGGGGATTTTATCAGAAACTTATAGTAAAGAGAATGTATATTTGATTATCCAGGTAATAATGCAGCTAGAATTGTATTTGCAGAAAATTGGAAAAGTGAAGAGATTCCTACGGATGAGAATGTGATTAGGAAAATATTAGAATGTGCAGAAGTGAATAGGTTAACACTTGCAATAAAAGAGAAGGAACAAACTGAATATTATAATGTATGGGAACTATTTTACCGATGGCTAGAGAATAAATATGAAAGTTAGAAATAAAAGTAGATTAGTGAACTATAGAAAATATATTAATAGAATTAAATAAGTAGAGAATTGTTATTGATTACAACAATTATTAGATATGCTATGTGTATCGGTATTTAGAGTAGACGAATAATGAATATGGCTGTAAATTTTAATTGTTATTGCACAAGACATTTGTAACCAGACGACACACTGTTTAATGGAAGATGGATTGTTTGTATTAAAATAAAATTAAAAATTAAGAAAAAAAGTTTTAGGAAGGCTGTTTACAAGTTTCTCCTTAGATTTTGCTTTTGGTGTATAAAAAGGCACCTGGTTCCTTGAAGTGTCCTAGCCTCTCACTGGCTGTGTTGCACTTCTCTGCACTATCCGATGACGCCGTAATCCTCGGAGTAGGAGAAGAGGGCTCCGTTTGGACTTACTCATCTTGTGTTTCCAGATAGGCGCCAGAAAGGATCAGCTGGCCGATGCAAAAGTGGGGCTGAGAAAGGCCAGGACGGAACACAAATGCAAGAAGGAGGCGAAATCAAAAGCGTAAGTGAAAATCTTGGTTCTTTTTTAGGCCTGGGGTGTTTAATCTCAGCGATGGCCGTCCCGCTTTATTCTCATTGAAAGGCATGTAGATATACATCCCGTGTGAGCTGGTTCAGTCTAGTGGTGAAAGCACTAGGCTAGAAACCAGGAGGTGTGAGTTCTAGTCCTGCCTTAGGCACGAAAGATGGCTGGATGACTTTGGGCCAATCACCAGGAGACAGTGAGTTCTAGTTTCACCTTAGCCATGAAAGGCAGGTGGGTGACTCTGGACTAATCACCAGGAGAGAGGGGGTTCTAGTCCTGCCTTAGGCATGAAAACCGGCTGGATGACACAGTCACCAGGAGATGGTGAGTTCTAGTCCTGCTTTAGGCATGAAAACTGGCTGGGTGATTTTGGACCAATCAGCAGGAGGCAATGAGTTCTAATCCCACCTTAGGCATGAAAGCTGACTAGGTGACTTTGGACCAATCACCGGGAGGCAGTTAGTTCTAGTCCCACTTTAGGCATGAAAGCTGACTGGGTGACTTTGGACCAATCACCGGGAGGCAGTGAGTTCTAGTCCCACCTTAGGCATGAAAGCTGACTGGGTGACTTTGGACCAATCACCGGGAGGCAGTGAGTTCTAGCCACCTTAGGCATGAAAGCTGACTGGGTGACTTTGGACCAATCACCGGGAGGCAGTGAGTTCTAGTCCCACCTTAGGCATGAAAGCTGACTGGGTGACTTTGGACCAATCACGGGAGGCAGTGAGTTCTAGTCCCACCTTAGCATGAAAGCTGACTGGGTGACTTTGGACCAATCACGGGAGGCAGTGAGTTCTAGTCCCACCTTAGGCATGAAAATGGCTGGGTGATTTTGGACCAATCAGCAGGAGGCAATGAGTTCTAGTCCCACCTTAGGCATGAAAGCTGACTGGGTGACTTTGGACCAATCACGGGAGGCAGTGAGTTCTAGTCCCATTAGGCATGAAAGCTGACTGGGTGACTTTGGACCAATCACCGGGAGGCAGTGAGTTCTAGTCCCACCTTAGGCATGAAAGCTGACTGGGTGACTTTGGACCAATCACCGGGAGGCAGTGAGTTCTAGTCCCACCTTAGGCATGAAAGCTGACTGGGTGACTTTGGACCAATCACCAGAAGATGGTGAGTTCTTGTTCCACCTTAGACATAAAATCTGGCTGCATAACTTTGAGCCAGTCACTCTCTCTTAGCCGACAGAGTCCAACTCGAGCAACAAGCCAGTCAGTCAATTCTTGTCACAATCATAAGTGGATCAATACTCCTTTGATCCAACAAAAAGCAAACACTGCAATCAGGGTGGATAAAAATCAATGATTTTTTTTAAAAAATCAAAAAAATCGGATTTTATTTATTTAAATTGGATTTTTTTATTTAAATCAGATTTTTTTGATTTTTATTGAATTTATTTTAATAAAAAACTTTTGGGGTAAAAATCTATCGTAAGATAGTTTTCTGTTTAAGATACATAAATAATTGAGTTTATTCAGCATGAAATGGAGCTTAGTTGTGTAGCAGGAGGCTGTATATTCTGCAACACTGGGACTCTCGGTCAGTCAACAGTGGGTCAAAGGAGTAGCAGAGATGACAGTTGCTCTTTAAAAATTATGATTTAAATCGAGTGGATTTAAATCAAGTCTTTTTACTAGTGATTTAAATCATGATTTAAATCGACTCGATTTAAATCAAATCCACCCTGACTGCAATTGTGGGGGGAAAGGATAGGGGGAAAAATAGATGTATATGCATGTATTTGTGGGAATGCTGACTTTGAGCCTCAAAGTATTAAAATATAATTATAAAATAATTCCCCATGTTGGCTGCGGAATGCTGGAGCTTGAAACCCATCCACCTTGAAGCGGCCAAAAAACACTTTTATAGGCGACGTCTCTGTTTTGAAACAGGGCCGTAGAAAAGAAAAAGAAACTGGTGAAGAAGATCGAAGAACAGCTGGCGAAGCTGAAATTCCAGGCTACCGACAAGGAGGAAAACAAGGAGATCGCTTTGGGCACCTCTAAGTTGAATTACCTGGACCCCCGCATCACCGTGGCCTGGTGGGTGACGGGCAGCTAGATGGGGGGTTTTAGAGGGAGGATGAAGGACAGGAACTTGTAGGAGAAGGAATGGCAGAATCTGGGGGCAGAGTCAAGATAGGATTCAGCCTGGAATCCCTACGTAGTCACAAACGGAGTCCAATCTCCCTTGAATTCCATTATACCAGGCTAGGTAACCTCATCAAAGCAGTGGATTTAGTTTCAGTCTCCTGCATTGATGACGTTAGTTGGTCTACTAATGAAACATCTCAACAAAAACAATGAAGTTTGAAGAACATCAAGAATAGCAATAGCACTTAGACTTATATAGTGCTTTTACAGCCCTCTCTAAGCGGTTTACAGAGTCACCCCAACAATCTGGGTTCTCATTTTACCAACCTTGGAAGGATGGAAGGCTGAGTCAACCTTGAGCCTGGTGGGATTTGAACTGGCAAACTGCAGGCAGCCGGCAGTCAGCAGAAGTAGCCTGCAGTACTGCACTCTAACCACTGCGCCACCAAGAAGTTCAACCCTAAGCTTCATATACACTCAACTTTTGGAGGCTGCAGATGATGTTATCTAACACGTTTTGATAAGACACAGCTTTCTGCTAGAGAGAGTTAGCTACCATAACATTTCTTGGTTACTATATAATCCAGGGATGTCAGACTCAAGGTACGGGGGCTGGATCTGTCCTGCGGGGCGCTTACATCTGTCCTGCGGGGCTGCCCTGGAAACAGCAAAGGACTGGCCTGCGATACCTCTGTCAGTGAAAATGGAGGCCATCGCAGCCAAAAACAGAGCATGTAAGGGCCACAGGCAGCTCTCCTGAGCTCTGTTTTTGCTGGCAGAGGGTTGCAGGTGGTCGTCGCAGCCAAAAACGGAGCTTGGGAGCCCGTTTTAACTGGCAGGGTACTCAGGCCACCACAGTCGCCCCAACATGAGTGATGTTGAGTTGGCCACGCCCCCCCCCGGGCCAGCCCCCCTGCCCCCCCCCAGGTCAAACACAACCCTGATGCAGCCCTCAATGAAATTGATGTTGACACCCCTGATATAACCTAAGAAATGGTGGGACAGTTGCAAAAGATTTGTGGGATTTGGCCTATCTACATAGGAGAATGAGTGGCAGCATCCAGGGGTGGAGTCAAAAGGGGAATCAGCCTAATCCCTATGTAGCCACAAACAAAATCCAACCTCCCTTGAATTCAGTTAAACCTTATCTAAATCCTACCAATCCTGACCGAACTGGAGTCCTGCTTAAAATAGAAGTGCCCGTCTTGCCGTTGATCCCGTTAATGGTCCTTTAATTGCCACCTCCAGTTCTGCTTTGATGCTGATGTGTGTCCTTCCTTCTCTTTCTGCGTTCCTTGACTCTAGGTGCAAACGGTTTGACGTGCCCATCGAGAAGGTTTACAGCAAAACTCAGCGCGAGAAGTTTGCGTGGGCCATTGCAATGGCGGATGAAGATTTTGTATTCTAAAGAGATCTAGGCTACTCCCGGCTTGTTGTGGGTCACTCGTTGGCATGTTTTGTGTGCCTTTGCTAGCACGGAGGGCCGTTTTGCACACATGAAATACACACCTAAAGGAGAAAGGCGAGCCTATTGTTTCTCTTTTTGTGTAAAAGGGGAGGCCACCCTGTTCTATTTATTTATGAGTAGTATTGGTTCTCCATCTTGGTCTGAGGATGCTGGACGGCTCAGAAGAATGGTTCTGGAACAGGATTGGGCAGAGTTCTCCTGGCCTTCTCATCTAGGTTTCTCAGGGATGGTTGTAGTATGAGGAGATCCAGTTGTCTTGAACTGAACCCTTCAGTTTCTTTCTCCAAGACTTTTAGGAAAAGCTACTTCTGAATGGAAAGTTAGGTTGGATAATGTTGTGTTGCAAAATTCGACTTCTTGAGTTCTTCTTCACTGTTGTTCAATGAAGGCCAAGTTCTTGATGCCCTTGAGATATGGTGGACCACCAACGCAAAAGACAGGAGCCAAAGATCCTTGGAACAATTTGTTATATCTAGAGGATCTCCAGTTCAGGGAAAATGTGTCACCATCATGTTCCCTTGGCCCATTCAATGTTGTCTTCTAATACTTCGAGGAGATACATGGAACCAAGGAAGAAAAGAGACACTCATATGCCATTTGGTGCATTTTCTATCTTTCCTCCTTCTTGGGTGCTCCTCACCCTTTAGTGAGGAATCTCAAACATTAGCTAGAACCAGTCGAGTGCCTTCCTTTGGGAGAGAAGACACAGATGGAGATCCCTTCATCCTTAACTGGACTGTGGTCAAGATGTCGTCAGAGGTGCCTTCAAAAATCTGGATCAGAAGAAATGGGTAACTCAAGACTGTTCCTGCACACGGTTTTGACACACTCGCTAATGAGAAGTTGAATTTGTCACCGAGTATTTGTCGTAGTAATTGTGCAAAAGTTATCCCAGTCAAGAAAGATCTGCAGATGTTACCGCGAAGAACGTCTTGGCGGTAAACATCTACAATCCATAGCCAGTTTATGATGGCTTGGTTTAGTAAACAGTGGAGCAAATGCTAGACTTCAAAACCAATGAGGGACGCAACGTTTACACCAGGGTTAGGCAACTACGACCCTTTTACCTCAGCATGGCTCAGGAATTCTGGGAGTTGAAGTCCACAAATCATAAAGGGGCCATAATTGCTCACCCGTGGTCTAGACTGCCAACATATTGAGTGATTAATTCCAGAGTGTCTTTCTGGAGCCATTAGTAGATGGAAGAACCTCAGTTCCTTGCAGAAATTAATATTCTGGATCATCTAATGAGTGCAGTTGCTAATTCCCCCCCCCCCCCAAAATGATGGCGGGTGGTAATTCTAGGGTTAAAATGTTTGTTTCAATGCCACAGACTAAACATTCATCGGTTTTACTCGTGGGCACACACAAACCCTATTTCAATTCTATTTCCTTAAACAATTCAGCCCTTGAGGTTGGTGCCACCGGTGATGAAAAATATTCTTAGATCTAATCATTTCTAGAGTCACCTTCAGGTTTATTAGATGTTTTTTCTGAGAAGTTAATTGGCATTCATTATAATAATATCCTGTTTCCCCCAAAATGAGACATCCCCTGATAATAAGCCCAATCAGGCTTTTGAGCGCATGGCAATAAGGCCAAGTGCTTATTTCAGAATTTTAAAAAAATATAAGACAGGGTCTTATTTTCGGGGAAACGTATTTGTTTTGTAAGAAATGGGCTGATAATAAAAATGGAAAGAATTCGATACAGAATCAATTTGTTTACCTGGTAAAGCATAAGGGGAAAAATATCAACCTTTTCTAGTTCAGTGGCTGTCCAACCCATAGGAATGAATGCTGCTATTTGTGGATGATGGGCACCTGTATCCAAGACAGGAGGGGGTGTCACTTTGGGAATAGCATAGTTAAGAGTTTTAAGTGCCAGCTTTGTTTGGGATTTTGGCTGAATGCACCAGACTCCAGTAAAGGAATCGACTAAGAGGTTTGCTTATTAAAATACAGTTTTGCACAGTTCAATATTTGAATATCTTCTTTCTATCACTCTGTGAAGCAAGCAGTGTGAAATGTTTCAGACCACGGAATTTGCGCTTTTGCCCATAGAACTAATATGTCGGAATATTTTCATATGAAATTGCCACTACAATAATTTCATCATCATGTATATTGATTTCTGTTCTTGATACAATGGGAATAACAAAAAAAAAGAAGAAAAAAAGAAGATTGATTTCTGTTCTAATATACGTCACGCATTCATGTAAGTTGACAGAAACATGTTACAATAATAACTCTTTGCTGCTGCTATTTTCCCAGAAACTCTGTTCAGGTGGTTTTACTCGATCCCAATTCTAGGGCCTTTATTTTTATTTTTTTATTTATTTTGGTTTTTAAAGAAATGTACACTGTCCCTGGACAGTTTTTTTAGACTGTGTCTTTCTTTTGGCTTGTTCAACAGAGGATCTATCTAGAAATGTATTTTCTGAGCTCGATCGCAGGAGAAAGAGTTTTTCCTTGGATTACCCCGTTTTTCTAATTTTTTTGCGACCGATTAAAATGGTGTTTGAAAAGATTCGGGTGGTTTCTTAGTTTCTTCTTGATGTGATGCAGCCTCTCGCCACACGAGGGCGTGCGTCTTTGCAGCGTCTGAGGTTGTTCGGTCACGGACAAAGATGCACAGATGTGGAAAATAAAAATCTGTGATTCTTTTATCAGAGCCTGCGAAGGGACTCTCATGCTCTGCCTGTCAGCCACCTGATTGTGTGAACTTGCCCAATATGGTGGCAAGAATGCAAGAAAACGGAAGGAAGGAGAAATGGTTTTTCATTTATCATGTTTTCCTGTATTCAAATTACGTTTATACTTTTACCTGTTATCTTATATATGCTTGACAAATAAACTTATGATTATAATTATAAGGGAAGGAAGGATAAATGGTGAGAGAAAAGGAAAGGGAAGGGACAAAAGAAAGAAGTGGGAGGGAAGGAAGAAGGAAAGGAAGGAAGGATAAATGGTGAGGGTGAAAGGAAGAGAAGGGAAGGAACAACAGGAAGAGGGACGGAGGAAGGAAGGAAGCGAAGGAAGGATGAGGGAGGTCTGGAATTTAAAGGGAGAAAAGGAAGGGAGGAAAGGGAAGGAAAGGAAAAGGAAAGGGAGGGAGGGAGGGAGGTCGAGTTTGAGGAAGGAAGGAAAATAGGAAGAAGGGTGGAAGGAAGGAAAGAAGGGAGGGAAGGAAGGATAAGTGAGGGAAAGGGAACAACAGGAAGAAAGGGAGAGGAAGGGAGAAAGGAAGAATGGAAGCAAAAGAAAGGGAAGGAAGGGTGAGGTCTGGAATTTAAGAGAAAGGAAGAGAAGAAAGGGAAGGAAGTCGAGCTTAAGAGGAAGGGAGGGAGGGGAAGAAAGGAAGAAGGAAGGAAGAAAAGGAACAAAGGAAGGGGAAAGAAGAATGAAAACTACACAAATAACCAAATAGACGGTATATAATGTTATGAAAAGTACCAACTCTTGATTTACAATCATTCATTTCATGACTGAAGTTACAACTTATAAGGGGCCTGGTGGCGCAGCAGACTAATAGCCTGTTATTAACAGTCAGCTGCCTGCAATTATTGCAAGTTCGAATCTCCCCAGGCTCAAGGTTGACTCAGCCTTCCATCCTTTCTAAGGTAGGTAAAAATGAGGACCCAGATTGTGGGGGCAATAAGCTGACTTCGTATAAATATACAAAAGTATGAAGGCTATTGCTTAACGCCTTGTAAGCCGCCCTGAGTCTCCGGAGAAGGGCGGCATATAAATCAAATTAAAAAGAAAAGAAAAGAAAAAACATTCCTCGCACTTAACAACTGTCCCAGCAATTCCACAGTCGCACAATCAGCCTTCAGGTGCTTGGCAACCAGCATCTATTTATGGTAGAGTAATTTTGGTGATGGTAAGGTAATTCCCACAATTTCACATTCTCCTTGCCCAAATGTCAAGGAGTAGAAATTCCACTCCAATGGCAATGCTCTCCAGAATGAGTTCAGCACATGCTGCAATTCTTAATTGTATGGTTGATTTAATCTTCTCAGAAGTCTGTCACGCCGTCATTTCTTCCTCCGTGTCACTGAATGTGCAATTATAAGGAGGGGATGAATTGCATCCTTCCAGGGTGTGAGCTGCTCCTTATCCGGAGGGAATGTGGTTCTACCAACTCAATACAATTTGAACCTTTTCTGACCCTCTGTAGATTCCCCATCCCGACCCTGATCCCATTGGAGATCTTTCCAATGAGATTCTTCTCAAAATAGCCAACACAGTTATAGGCCCCATCAACAAAGGGATAGAATCAAGATCATGTGAAGTGTTAATGCTACTTGATAATGCCTTGGTAAGGCCACACTTGGAATATTACATCCAGTTTTGGTTGCCACAGTACAAAAAAGATCTTAGAACGAGTGTAGAGAAGAGCAACAAACACAATTGGGGGACTGGAGGCTAAAACCTACAAAGAACAGAAGGTGACTCGCCCATAACTAAAATTTGGATAGGGAGACGCTGAACGGAAAGCCTCTGAAGCAACACAACACTTCGATCTAGAGGACTTCATCCATCGAGTGTCCTTCTGTTGCTACCGCTATATTTCTTTTCTTTTTTTAAAATAATATATTTTTATTAAACACTTTTTAAAAAACAAACAAAAGGAAAGCTTTAACATTTTTTCTGTTCCAACAGTTTCGCATCCGACAACAATTTCATAGTTTTACATTTTTTCCCTTGTTTATTTCTACTATATCATTTATACATATAGGTACTTCTAATCTTTATTTACATATGTACATAACAATACCATTGTACCCACTTTCATTTCTACAATTTTTGTTTCCTCATATTAACAATTATACTTCAACTCCTATTTCTACCGTTATTTAATTTTTCCCTTTCTTTTATCTCTCTCCTCCAACCATATCATTTCTCCCACACTAAGTAATATTCTATTTCCTCTTTTTCGTGTATCTCCTTTGTTAATTTATCCAGCTCTGCACATTCCAAAACTTTTCTAATCAGATTTTCTTCGGATGGTATATTGTCATTTTTCCAATTCTGAGCATAAATTATTCTTGCTGCTGTGGTAATATGGATGATTAAATTGTATTTCTTTTTTGTATGACCCTGGGAGTATTCCTAATAAATACTTTTCTGGCCTCATCTCTATCTTTTGTTTGGTTATTTCTTCTAATTGTGATCTGATTCTACTCCAATATTTTTTTGCTTTGTGGCAGGACCACCACATGTGGTAACAGGTTCCCTTTTGCTGTTTGCATTTCTAGCACGTTGGTGAGGTATTTGGAAACGTCTTTCTACCACCATTTTTCTACCACCATATTTCTGGTTCGTTTATTTTAAGAAGCAGAATTAAGGCTAAGGCTGGGTACAAGAAAGAAAATGTCCAATTGGTACAGGGAAAAGGTATAAAAACTTGGGGAGAGCCCAAAGGTGCTTTTTCAGGAGGCAACTGGACTTTCTTGGTTGTTTTTTTGGAAGACGTTTTGCTTCTCCTCCAAGAAGTTTCTTCAGCTCTCACAGGATAGTGGGGAATGGAAGGATTGATACTCCTTGCAGACACAGCTGGTCCTTTGCATCCTTTTAGAGGGTCATTGAGGCCCCTTGGAGATTTGTCTGTGTCCTCAGGGTCCCCTGAGTGGTGCAAATGGATCCTGTAGTTTGCAATTTTTTTCTTCTGGAAATCCATTTCTGCTCCCACACCATTCAAAGGGTGTTCATCCCAAATTTATTTATTTATTTATCAAATTTTTATACCACCCTTCTCCCAAAGGGACTCAGGGCGGTGTACAGCCAAGATAAAAACCCGCAATATGAAAGTTAAAAACAGTTTAAAATTATTAGATAGTTTGGCCAATCATTTAAAACACAATAACCCAATTAAAATAATATTTTAGGCCAGCCCTGCTTGATGGAATAATAGCGTTTTAAGGGCGCGGCGGAAGGTACGGAGGTCGGAAATCCGACGAATCTCTGGGGGCAGCTCGTCCCAGAGGGCAGGTGCTCCCACAGAGAAGGCTCTCCCCCTGGGGGTCGCCAGACGACACTGTCTAACCGACGGCACCCTGAGGAGTCCCTCTCTGTGGGAGTGTACTGGTCGGTGGGAGGCTATCGGAGGCAGAAAGCGGTCTCGTAAATATCCAGGTCCTATGCCTGGATTGTATAGCTAAAAGGGATTTGGGACAACCATGACCTGGATGACTGAGAATCTCTACAATTTTGGGGAGAGATTTTGTCCGGCTGACTCTAGAGCAGAGGTGGGGAACAATGGCTCCTTAAAGACTTGTGGACTTCAACTCCCAGAATTTCAAGAAAGCACCTGAATTTTGATTAGGTGACCATAGAGATGCTGTAGTGGTGAAACACACACACACACACATACCTCTTTTAATTCCAAAAGTCGACAATCATTATGTAGCCACTGAGGCAAATCAGATGTCAAACACTCTTTCTGGAGTTGTACGATTCTTTTTTTAAAAGCAACCGTCCATGCCTCTAAAGCAGGGGTGTCAAACTCAGTTTTATTTATTTATTTATTTATTTATTTATTTATTTATTTATTTATTTATTTATTTATTTATTTATTTATTTATTGGTTCGATTTATATGCCGCCCGTCTCCGGAGACTCAGGGAGGCTTACAATGCTTTTAAGCAATAGCCTTCATACTTTTGTATATACCTGCTTAGTAGGGCTTTCGCCCCCCCCCAAGCAGTGTTCTTTTTTATACAAAGTCAGCTTATTGCCCCCACAAACCGGGTCCTCATTTTACCTACCTCGGAAGGATGGAAGGCTGAGTCAACCTTGAGCCTGGTTCTCAGCTCTCTCGCCGTCACCCGTAGTCGGAAATAAACCACGCTGCAAGTCAATGAGGGTTTGGAGCAGGAAACGGTTTATTCAGCGTCCAAGAGTGGTGCAAATAGTTGCTGAGTTCAGATGAGGATAATACAAAGTCGGCATTGGGCGGCGGCGCCACTTAACGCTGTTTAAATAATCGCGCCCCTCACCGCCCTTCCAGGCTCCTCCTTGCCGGCACGCCCCACTCATCAGTGACAGTTCGTAGCAGCTGTTCCACACCCTACCGCGGCCGCCAGGTGACCGTCCGCCTGCCTACCTAACACCCCCCTCCACCAATCCGTGCTAGGAGAATTAACCCAACCCCCACCCCCATAGCCTCATCGTGTCAATCTCGCATCTGCAGGAGCACTCGTTGTCAACGTGTCGAGTGTGGGATCTCGACAGGCGGCTCCCCCTACCAGGGGTCCACCTGTAAAACATAAGAGAAAACATGAACACGGAGTTATATCATTGCCATCACAGTATTTCCCGGTTTGTGGGGGTATTTTGTGTGATACCGTTTCAACAATCTGTCGGCCTGAAGGTTTTCAGCCGACACCCACGAGGCATCCTCCAGGGGGTAGCTTTTCCACTTCACTAGGTACTTTAGTTTTCCTCTACTTAGTTTTGAATCTAGGATTTCTATGATTTCGTAATGGGAACCCACCAACGGTCCTGGGCGGTCTGTAGAGCTGCACATATTGCCTGCTGGCTTTAATAAACTACTATGAAAGACTGGATGGACCTTACCCAGTAACGATGGTAACTTAAGCTCAACAGTTACCGGGTTTATGATTTTTACAACAGTAAAGGGCCCGAGGTATTTCGGACCCAATTTTTTACTAGGTATTTGTAACTTCATGTATTTAGTGGACAGGTACACTTGGTCTCCTATACGAAACGGTTGGTGGTCTTTTCGTTTTCTGTCAGCGAACTCTTTATACTCTCCTGCCGCTTTTTGTAACGCTTCTTTGATCTTTGGCCACTGAACCCCAATACGGACTCCCCACTCCCTAGGGGACACCCCCTCCTGCGTATCAGGTTCAAGTTCAGGGATTGCACTAAAGTCCCGACCATACATGATTTGAAATGGAGTAGCCCCAGTACTGCGGTGTACTGCATTATTATAGGCTACCTCAGCAAGTGGTATGAGTTCCGACCAATCGGACTGCTGATATGATACGTAACAACGGAGATATCTCTCTATCATGGCGTTGGCCCTTTCTGCAGCTCCATTTGTACTAGGATGATAAGCGGAACTCAAACCTTGCGATGAACCTATCAACTCAACAAAGCCACGCCAAAACCGTGCCGTGAACTGTACACCCCTGTCTGAGATGATCCGTCGAGGTGTACCATGCAATCGGTATATATGCCGTACGAACATCAGAGCCAATTGTCTCGCACTCGGCAGGCCTTTACAGGGAATAAAGTGAGCCTGTTTAGAGAAGAGGTCCACTACAGTCCATATAACTGTGTGGCCTTTACTATCAGGGAGGTCTACGATGAAATCCATCCCTATCTCTTCCCATGGTTTACTAGGCTTAGCGACCGGTTGTAGAAGACCAAGTGGCTTACCAGGTCTTGCCTTCGTTACAGCGCACACATGACACCCTTTCACGTATTTCTCCACCTCCTTACGCAGACGAGACCACCAAAATTGCCGTCGCACGAGATGAAGAGTTTTTAAAAACCCAAAATGCCCGGCGGTTTTAGCATCATGACACTTGTTCAGCACAGTTGACCGCAAAGATTGGGGTATATATAATTTAGACCCCATCCAAGCTAACCCATCACGCATAGTCACCATCGTTTTATGCTTGGCTATCCAGAGGTCTTCCTGTACTGCCTTTTCCAGTCTTATCCTCCACCCGAGTTTAGCTGGCTTGTCTCCTGCCCAGGCCATATGTTGAGGCTTTGGAATGATTGCCTGTACTACATCCTCTCGCTTACTATCAAACTGGGGCATCCGTGACAATGCATCCGCTAAGAAATTCTTGCCACCTGGAACATACTTCAGGTCGAAATTAAACCGCTGGAAGTACTGTGCCCAACGAACCTGTTTTGGCGACAGTTTTCTAGGGGTTTGCAAGGCCTCCAAATTCTTATGGTCTGTCCAGACCTCGAATTTCTTGTTGGTGCCTTCTAGCAAATGTCGCCATGTCATTAAAGCCCATCTCACTGCAAATGCCTCCTTCTCCCAAACAGCCCAACCTCGCTCCGTAGGTGTCAACTTCCGGGATGTGTACGCACAAGGACATAAGGTCCTATCAGACGCCCGCTGTAAAAGCACTGCCCCTACAGCTACATCGCTAGCGTCTGCCTGTACCACAAAGTCCAATGAGGGATCTGGGTGTTTTAACACGGGTTCCCTAGCGAACAATCTCTTTAACCGCTCGAACGACTGTTGACACTCCTTCGTCCATGGTAACAATTGTCCCGGTCGTATCCTACCCCCACCTAGATGCTTTGTTTTTAATAGATCTGTTAAGGGGAGAGCTACCTGTGCAAACAATGGGATGAACTGCCGATAAAAATTGGCGAAACCAAGAAAGCTTTGTAATTGCTTTCTGGTTTTGGGTGCCTGCCACTCCAACACTGTCGAGACCTTTTTCGGATCCATCTCTATTCCTCGTGCCGAAATACGGTACCCCAGATAGTCCAGGCTGGTGCGATGGAACTTGCATTTTGATAACTTCACATAAAGTTTTGCCTCTAGTAACTTGGACAGGACATTCCTCACTAGTCGGATATGCTCTTCCATCGTCTCTGAATATATCAAAATATCATCCAAGTAGACAAGAACGCCCCGATATAAATGTTCATGTAATACCTCGTTGATAACCTGCATGAACACGGCCGGGGCGCCCTGCAGCCCAAAAGGCATAACCCGAAACTTGTAGCTCCCTAATGGGCAATTAAAGGTCGTTTTCCACTCATCTCCCTTTTGTATCCTTATTCTGTAATACGCTTCCCTCAAATCTAACTTTGTAAACACCTTCCCTGTCGCTAGTGTGGCTAGTAAATCCTTCATCAACGGCAAAGGGTATAGGTGCTCCACACACACAGCATTTAAGCCCCCAAAGACGAAGACCACCGTCCTTCTTCTCACGAAAGAGAACCGGGGCTGCCATACGCGCCCGACTGGGCTGGATAAATCCTCGAGCCAGGTTCTTATCAATATAGTGCCGCAACTCCTCTAACTCAGGCTTTGTCATGGTGTACATACGTGGCTTTGGTAACTTCGCTCCCGGTATCAGTTCTATCGCACAATCTGTCGCTCTACGAGGGGGCAACGACTCACATTCACGTTCGTCGAACACAGCTGCCATATCCTTATACACCTCCGGATATTCTGGCCCGGCAATTTGAACTTGCAGTAATTGCAGGCAGCTGGCAACTAAGTGCTACTTTAACAGCACTTAGTCCACTGCGCCACCAGGCTCCTCAATTGAGGGCCTTCATTGAGGGCCACATCAGGGTTGTGTTTGACCTTGGGGGGGGCAGGGTGGATGTGGGCAGGGGGGGGTGGCCAGCTCAACTTCACTCGTGTCGGGGGGCACCTGTGGTAGCCTGAGTGTTCTGCCGGCAAAAATAGGTTCTCGAGCTCCGTTTTTGACTGCAATGGCTTCCTTCAACCCTCTGCCGGAAAAAATGGAGGCGACCCTCCCGAGCTCCATTTTTGCTGGCAGAGCCAACATGGACTGATCCTTTGCTGTTTCTAGGGTGGCCCTGCAGACCAGATCTAAGCACCCCGTGGGCCAGATCCAGCTCCTGGGCCTCGAGTTTGACACCCCTGCTGTAAAGAGTCACCATTCTTGATGGTGCGTTCCAAGGAATGGATTGTTACTAAACGAATGGTTACAAGTTGAGGACTACCTGTATTCATGGTTCCCTGGATCCATCCAGATAATCCTTCTTAGTTACTTCAAAAGATCCTTGATGAACAGGAGATAATGTGGAGGACCAGAGCATCGTTTCTGTGTCCTCAACACTTACACGTAAATCAGATGGATTCCATACATTTGGACCAGACTTTCTGGATAAACAGTTCAGTAGATCCTACATCATGAGTAGCAGTCATGCTGGCAGGAACGTGAGCACCTCCGATCCAAGTGTCTTGCAAATCCAGTGATCTTCAGGTGATCTTCAGCCAGCCAGTGACTTTCCCGAGGTAGAGAAGTGGCAAGGTAAAGGGGAGGAGCTTTTGATGGTGGATAAAGTATTAGCGAGATGGTTTACCACACCTATTTTCTGGAGGCAACCATCGATCTTCTCAGTTGTACCTCCCAAAGGGGAAGGCAAGACAACTCACCCATAGGCATATATATTATTGTTCACAAATGTTCCAGTTCTTTTGGATAAAGTAAGTTGACTGCTTCATCAGGTCCTTCAAGGTTCACTCGAGGGTGTCAAGGAAGAAGGAGAACCTCCGACCATGAAGACCTACCTTGTCGTTCTTGGTCTGCTGTTTCTGCTTAAAAATGAAGGTAAGCCCACAATACTAACTAGACCAACACAATTGACTGCCAAAGTTAGCTTCAGGCACTGATAAAGTTACCCAACTCTAGTTTTGAGCTGTCCATTGACCTATTTTTATTTGGAAGTATTATGTGTTGGGAGAGGTAGAACATTTCAAGGGTTCCGGTTCTACCAGTTGTTCAGTTGCTAAGTCATATCCAACTCTTTGCAACTGGATGGAGCTTAGAACACCAGGACCTCATGTCTTCCACCATTTCTCAGAGTTTGCCCAAAATTCATGTTCCTTGCTTTGATGACACTATCTAACCCTCTGCTATCTCCCTGCTCCTTTGGCCTTCCATCTTTCCCGACATCAGGGTCTTCTCCGAGGAGTCCTCTCTTCCCATTTGGTGGCCAAAGGATTTGAGCTTCCGTTTCTGTCCTTCCAAGGAACAGTCAGGGCTGGTTTATTTTAGGATCGATTGATTGGACCTCCTTGCAGTCCAAGTTGAAGACTCTCAAGAATCTTCTCAAACGCTAAAACCATATAATTGGAGGAAGCCATTTATAGGAAAGCAAAGTTCACTCTCTTTCTTCATGTAAGGATCTAAAATTCTCAAAAACTTTGACAGAGATAAAAAGCTTTATTAAGTATTATGATTAAAAATACGAGAGCTGATGTAAAGTAAAAGAAGGTAAAAATAATACAGAAAAAAACAGCAATATTGCAAAGAAAAAAAGTGGTTTTATATAAAATATTAATTTCCCTGTTTATGTCCTTAGAGGCTATATTAGAAATAAAATTAATAAATAATAATTTTATTAATAAATAAATAAATATTACCACCGTGAGCTTAGCCTGAATCTGCTGCTTGGCTCACCAGTTGACTTGATTCTTACAGTCTACTTTTAAGGAATAGCTGTCTGGAGTACATATGGGCAATCCCGTGATATCTCCTTTCTATGGAGAGGAGAGTGCCCAGGATCCACTCTCTGGCTGCTGATCTCTGCGGTAATGCCATCCTTGCTCCTACAGGGACATGTAGCTCACCATGTCCACACCAGAAATCACAAACTGTAAAGTAAAAGAGGTGAAGATTTGTCCTGTCCAACTCTAGTGGTGATGCTTATCTCTGTTTCTTGACCAAAGAAGACAACGTTGTCAAAATCAATTTCTGTGGTCATGTGGCCAACAAGACCAGAAGGCACAGAATGCTGCTACTTTCCCACCAAACTGGTACCTTATTTATTTAGCGTATGGCTGGTCACACACAATATTAAAACACTTCATTTTTACAGGTTAAAACAATTAAAACATTAAAAAAAAGAGCCGTAAAAAAACCCAAGAGGAAAACAGAAATAACATTTCAGAGTTTAATCTCGAGTTTGGAGATCCAGTCAGTAGCTGTCGTTGTTACGCAGAGGAAGTCCCTAAAATCTCCTGGATACCTTCTGTTAGAGCATTCCCTCACTATATGTTGGATAGTCTGTCGGGGGCCCCCGCAATCGCATTGTGCTGAAGGTGTCTTTCCCCATTTATACAAGGAGTCGGCACACACACCATGAGTCGTTCTAATTCTATTGTATGTCACCCATATGTGTCGGGGTAGATTAAATCCTGGAGGCATACTATTAGGATTGGTACCTACTATTAGGACTGATACATATTTATCTACTCGCATTTGGATGCTTTTGAACTGCTAGATGGGCAGGAGTTGAGGCAAGTAACGGGAGCTCACCCTGTCTCATGGCACTCAGGTCTCAAACACAGCCTCTCAGCTTTCCAGCTGACAAACTCGACATCTTTAACTGCTGATCCTCCTTTAAAGTACAATAACAGTATAAACTGTTAATTTTGATCCTAGACCAGCAAACAAAAGCTGAAAAGGTTCAAGATAAGGCTATTATACTCAGTTGGGGATTCAGAGATCAAACCATATCTGGAAATGTTGGGAAAGGATATTTTCCAGACGTCGCTTTCCAGAGCTGAAACGCTCTTTCCTTGTTCCCCTCCTTCCTTCTCGCCTTCTGCAGTTTCCCCGCTGACCTGCTTCATGTGTGAGAACCAGCCCACCAACCTGCGGTGTCTCCGTTTCCGAGAGTGCAGTGAGGAAGAAGTCTTCTGCGTAACTGCTGTGGCCTCATATGAATTTGGTACGCTTCAGGCAGCTGGTTGTTGAGCGGTTGAGATGAAAATAATCTGGGCATCAGTTGTTTGGCATCAGTAGGGTTGCCCTACCCCAAAGGCAGGGCAGCTGCATAGAGAGAGAGACAGAGAGAGAGAGAGAGAGAGGGAGTGGGAGGGGAAGGGAGGGAGAGAAAGAGAGGGAAAGAGAGGGAGAGAGGGAGAGAGAACACACAGAGAGAAACAGAGAGAGAAAAGAGAGAGAAACAGAGAGAGAAAAATAGAGAAAGAGGGAAAAGACAGAGAGAGAAACAGAGAAGAAAAATAGAGAGAGAGAGAAAGAGAGAAAAGAGAGAGAAAAATAGAGAGAGAGAAAGAGAGAAAGAGAGAGAGAGAAAGAGAGACAGAGAGAGGGGGAGGGAGAGGGAGGGAGAGAAAGAGAGAGAAAGGGAGGGAGGGAGAGAACATACAGAGAGAAATACAAAGAGAAACAGAGAAAAGAGAGAGAGAGAAACAGAGAGAGAAAAATAGAGAGAGAAAGAGAGAAAGAGAGAGAGAGAGAGACGAGAGAGAGAGAGAGAGAGAGACAGAGAGAGGGGGAGGGAGAGGGAGGGAGAGAAAGAGAGAGAAAGAGAGGGAGGGAGGGAGAGAAAATACAGAGAGAAATACAAGAGAAACAGAGAGAAAGAGAGAGAGAAACAGAGAGAGAAAATAGGAGAGAAGAGAGAAAGAGAGGGAGAGAGAGAAGAAAGAGAGAGAGAGAGAGAAAGAGAGAGGGGGAGGGAGAGGGAGGGAGAGAAAGAGAGAGAAAGAGAGGGAGGGAGGGAGAGAGAGACATACAGAGAGAAATACAAAGAGAACAAGAGAGAGAGAGAGAGAAAAGAGAGAGAAAATAGAGAGAGAGAGAAAGAGAGAGAAGAGAGAAGAGAGAGAGAAAGAGAGAAGAGAGAGAGAGAGACAGAGAGAGGGGGAGGGAGAGGGAGGGAGAGAAAGAGAGAGAAAGAGAGGGAGGGAGAGAACATACAGAGAGAAATACAAAGAGAAACAGAGAGAAAAGAGAGAGAGAAACAGAGAGAGAAAAATAGAGAGAGAAAGAGAGAAAGAGAGAGAGAGAAGAGAGAGAGAGAGAGACAGAGAGAGACAGAGAGAGGGGGAGGGAGAGGGAGGGAGAGAAAAGAGAGAGAAAGAGAGGGAGGGAGGGAGAGAACATACAGAGAGAAATACAGAGAGAGAAACAGAGAGAAAAGAGAGAGAGAGAGAAACAAAGACAGAAAAATAGAGAGAGAAGGAGGGAGAGAGAAAGAGAGAGAGACCCAGATTATAGGGATCCAAGGCAGAAGAAGATACCAGACAGATTGGAAAAACTCCAAGGTCCCTTCCATCCTTAAGTTCTATGTTGAGCACCAATAGAATAACAAAATAACCAATAGAATAACAGAATAACAGAGTCAGAAGGGACCTTGGAGGTCTTCTAGTCCAACTCCCTCTCAAGCAAGAAACCCTATACCAGTGATGGCACAGAAACATCACGCACGCGCATTCGTTGGGGCCACACTCCGGAAAAGCTGAACTTCCGGGTTCTAGCACGCATGCACACCGGACGATCAGCTGGCTGGTGCGCAGGCGCAGGCCGGTTTTCGGCCCTGCAGCGCATGCGAAGGGATTGTGCTCCGGAAAAGCCAAACTTTTGAATTCTTGCGTGCATGCACACCTGACAAACAGCTGGCTGCCTGCATGCACACACTGGGTTTTGGCACTGTCAAAACTGCGGGTTCGCAGGGTTTCAGGAGAACCTCTAGCTAAGATTCTGTGCAGTTCGGAGAACCCCCAAATCCCACTCCTGACTGGGCCTGCCCCCACCCTGCCCTGCTCCTCCCAGGAGTCCCCCGTGGCCCGTTTTGGATGCAGGTAAGTGCAGGCTGCGCGCAGAGGTTTGGGGAGGGTAAAAAACTACTGGAAGTTCAGGAAAAGGCCCCATTTCTCACCTCTAGAGGGCCTCCGGAGCCTGGAGAGGCCGTTTTTGCCTTCCCGGAGGCTCGAGAAAAGCCTCCGGAGCCTGGGGAGGGCAAAAATGCCCCCCGCCCCGCTGTGGTGCAGGAGGCTAACTAGGCCACGCCCACGATGGCCATGCCCAGGCAGAGAACCCCTTGCTAAAATTTTTGAAGCCCACCCCTGGATGTGTATCTAAATCATCTGCAAGAATCATGTTTTTCTCAGGCCTCAGTGAGGATTTCAGAAATCATAGATAATTCCTTGTGTAAGTTTAATTAACTGACCCACTGATGGGCAGATATTCACCGATGGGCAGAGACATTAATGCTCCAGGCTTATGTTCTTATGGCTTTATCTACGTTGGTGCAACCAGTTTGGATAATGCAACCTTTGGCTCCAAGGGATGTAGCTAAATTGTTTTGTTTTGTTTGTTTGTTTGTTTGTTTTATTAAATTTATATACCGCCCTACTCCCGAAGGACTCAGGGAGGTGAACAGGCACAAAATAAAATACATAAATACAAAAGTTAGAAACATAATTAAAACCAAATTAAATAATTTAGCCCAAGACAATTAAAATCCCAATAATTTAAAACAAATTAAAATTCCAATTTAAAAATTTAAAAGAAAGGGGAGAAAATTACGCCAGGCCGGCTTGCTGGAATAGGAGGGTCTTAAGAGCACGGCGGAAAGTGTGCAGATCCGGGATCTGTTGTGACGTTGTGATGCATCTTTTCACAATGTTTACACAGCTGTTGTCCAAAGTTCAACAGAGTTGGAAGGAACCATATTGATCTTATGTCCTACCCAAGATAAGAATGGATGCTCAACCTGTACGAGGTAGTCCTCGACTTATGGCCAAAAGTTCTGTGGCTAAGCAAGGCAGTTGTTAAAGTGAATTTTGCCCCGTTTTACGGTCTTTCTTGCTGCAGTTGTTAAGTGAATCACTGCAGTTCAGTGAGTAACACGGTTGTTAAGTGAATCTGGCTTCCCCATTGACTTTTTCTTGTCAGGCCGCCAAAGGGACACTGCAACCGTCGTAAATATGAGTCCGTTGCCAAGCGTCTGAATTTTGATCATGTGACCACAGGGATGCTGCAATGGTCGTAAGTGTGAAAAACAGGCATAAGTCCCTTTTTTTCAGTGCTCTTGTAACTGCAAACAGTCAATAAACGAACTGTTGTAAGTCTAAAACTTACAACAATTCTAAAATTGTAAAATTCTCCAATAATAGGATTGCAATGGCTTAAGGAGATTTCCACTTGTGAATAGCTTTCATGGGCAGGAAATTCCTCCTTATTTTGAGTTTAGATCTCTTTCTATTAGGATTCCCGTGTTGGTTCTTCTCAGTGGTGAAATGTAAAATTTGTTACTACCGGTTCTGTGGGCGTGGCTTGGTGGTGGTGGGATAATGTGACTGGGTGGGCATGGCCAACTTTTTTTTTTCCTTTTAAAAGCCTCTGACGATCCCAGCTAAGTTGCCTGATCGTCAGAGGCTTTTTTTTAACTTTTAAAAACATTTTTTCTACAACGTCTTTGGCCGAAGAGGTTATAGAAAAAATGCTTTTAAAAGCCTCTGACAATCCCAGCTGAGTTGCCTGATCGTCAGAGGCTTTTTTTCTTTTAAAAGCCTCTGACGATCCCAGCTGAGTTGCCTGATTGTCAGAGGCTTTTTTTAACTTTTAAAAGCCTCTGACGATCCCAGCTAAGTTGCCTGATCGTCAGAGGCTTTTTTTAACTTTTAAAAACATTTTTTCTACAACCTCTCATAGAAAAAATGCTTTTAAAAGCCTCTGACGATCCCAGCTGAGCCGTGCAATCATCGGAGGCTTTTTAAAAACTTTTAAAAGCATTTCTTCGGCTGAAGAGGTTGTAGAAAAAATGCTTTTAAAAATAAAAAAACAGCCTCTGATGATCGTGCAGCTCAGCTGGGCATGTGGGGGGTGGGCAGGGATTTTTGCTACCGGTTCTCCGAACCACCCTCTGCCATTGCTACCAGATCGGACGATCCTGTCCGAACCGGGAACATTTCACCCCTGGTTCTTCTCCTACGGCCAGGTACTCTGGAGAATAAATCTACACCCTGTTCCCTGGTGTATTCAAGTATTGGAGGACTTCTGTCTTCTCTTCTTTAAATTAAAACACCCCAGTTATTTTCACCATTCTTCATAGAATAGTTGGGTTCTCCAAACCCGTCACCAACTGGTCCTCCTCTTTGTGGCAGCCCCTCAAATATGAGAAGACCTAATGAAAAGAAGGACTAAGAGTGACATGATAGCGGTCTTCCCATATTTGAGGGGCTGCCACAAAGAAGATGGAAACTAATCAAGGAGAGGAGCAACTTGGAATTAAGGAGAAACTTCCTAATTGTGAGGACAATTAACCAGTGGAACAGAAGTTGCCTCCAGAAGTTGTGGATGCTTCAACAATGGAGGTTTTTAAGAAGAGATTGGACAACTCTTTGTCTGAAATGGTATAGGGTTTCCTGCTTGAGCAGAGGGTTGGACTAGAAGACCTCCAAGGTGTTAGAGTTTGTTGCAGCAATCAAATCCAGAAAGCACACACAGGTAACTGATTCAGCAGGATTCTTTAACTTCTCTTTATATATAATTTAACACATAAGTAAATGTACAATACCAAAATCAGGTTCTTCCAACGTGGTAGAGAGTACAAGCAGACACAGGCAGAGGAGAGAAGAGTTTCAGTTTCAATTCTCAGCACAGTACTTAGAGCTACAGAGCCACGCCCAGGCTCCTTCCTGTCTCAGCTCCTATTGGCTGACCTTGTTACTAAGCTCTATTCATCGGCTGACTGTGTTACCATGTCTCTGCCAGTCATGAATTCTCTGGCACAAGGTCCCTTCTAACTCTGTTGTTGTCTTCAAATTGAGTGGAATTGCTGTCAATGAACTCAGTCTTCAATCCTTGTAGTCATGTTGATGCATTTGTACTCAAAATATATCAATTTACCACACTTTCAGTTTCTTCCTTGTGTCCTTCAGGCATGATGACCTTCAAAAAGAGAATCACCAAGAGATGCTCAGCCTTTTGCCCAGATCTTCAGATGGCATTGGGATTTGCTTCGTTTGGGACCTCTTGTTGCCAACGATCCTGGTGTAATATTTGGGGATCTCTAGGGGAGAGGAATGCCACTCAGGGATGGGAATGGCCAACCATTGACCTGACCAGATCTTTTGATGACGGAACTTGAAGAAGAGTAAGAAGTTACCAAAGAAAAACAGGAGCTTCTTGGCTTTCATATCTTTGCAGGGGTTCCAGGAGAGGGATGCAGGGGGAAGAGATGGAGCCAAATTTTATCCACTTATCCAGAACATCTTTAGAACAAGTCCCATCTCCTCATTTTGCAATTTGCGTTTTTATAAATAGGCAAATGTTATAAGAATTACCGAGTAGCAAAATCCTTTGCCTGACAGCTCAACTTGTCTATCTCTGGTACTTTGTGATATGCCCATGTCCAAAATGGTCTACCATAGCTTCCCCACACAAAGAAGCATTGAAATTTAGAGTTCGCAAGTCAAAAATCATCTACTGTAGTTTCTCCCATTCAAAGAAATTCTGAAATTTAGGACCTCACATCAAAGATTGTCTACTATTGCTTCTCCCACTTGAAGTTATGAAATTTAGGGCATCAAAAATGATCTCCGGTAGCTTCTCCTGCTCACTGAAGCTCTGAAATTTAGGGTCTCAAGTCAAAAAATGATTTACCTCAGCCTCTCCCACTCAAGAAATCTGAAATTTGGGGTTTCACATCCAAAATTATCCACAATTGCTTCTCCCACTCAAAGAAGCTCTGAAATGTAGGGTCTTAAGTCAAAAAGTTCAAATCTCACCAGGCTCAAGGTTGACTCAGCCTTCCATCCTTTCTAAGATAGGTAAATTGAGGACCCAGTTTGTGGGGGCAATAAGATGACTTTGTATAAAATATACAAAAATATGAAGGCTATGGCTTAACACATTGTAAGCCGCCCTGAGTCTCTGGAGAAGGGCGGCATATAAATAAAAAAACAACAACAACGATCTACCATAGCTACTTTCATTCAAAGAATGAAATTTAGGGTCTCATGTCAAAAATGATCTAGGATAACTTCTCCCATTCAAAGAACCTCCGAATTTTTTTTTTTTATTGAAAAAGTTTTCAAATACAAATTTTTCCGCCCTTTTTCCCCCCCCTCCCCCTCCCTAACCCCCCCTCCCCACCCATCCCCCCCTGTGACTTCTTCGTAACAAAAAAACCCCTAATTCATAACAGATTACTTACTCCCTCCTCAAAATACTGACCTTTACTTACTAAAAATATTATAAATATTATAACATCCCCCTTTATCCATACTTTTCAGAAAAGAAGAAGAAAAAAAAACAAAACATTATACTATAACTATTGTAAAATAACTTCTAATTTAACATAATAATGTTTTATATCTATATATTATTACAACAATTCAAAACCACCTTCCACTTTAAAACTATACGATAAGTCCTACTTTAATATTTAATCTTCTATATATATTACTATAACATTTCAAAGCGGCCTCCCCATAAAATCTAATTTAACATTTATTCCACTCTATCCATTTCCTCCACTCCCCTAAATGTATCACTTAAAAATCCCTTTTCTTAAACTAATCAGTCTGTAGCTAGCTTATTCACCCACTGTCCTGCAAATTTACCATACACAACAATTCTTAATATCTTTAATTCACTGCCCACACTACTTAAAAATATATATATATATATTCCATTATATCTAAATAAAAAAAAGAAAAGAAAAGACAATAACTTTAATTTTATAGTCCATATAATATCTTCTTTGAGGTCTTTCCACTGGATTGTTAAAACCAACATCCATAATAGGGTAACATAGCTTGCTGATGCAACAGTTTATTCAAGATCTTCAATCATATCTGCCCCCATCAGTAGTAAATATCTTCTTATATGTATAAAAGTAAAAACAACCACCCGAGTGACATTATAATTATATTCCATATAATAATAATTGTGGGTTTCATCAGGATTATTAATTTCCATCATCGTAGTGGGTAACAACCGGATCTTCTGCATGCCCCAGCATGATTCTCTTGCCTTATGATTCAAGATAATTATAATATATTTATCAACACAAAAAGAAATTTCAAAGTAGATAATTCAAATCCATCAGTTTGAGGCTCTTTCCACGTCCCAAAATTACGGCAATGCAGAGATCTGCTACTATCCTCAGGATAATATTGACCAATATGTCGCCTTCTCTATGTTTTCACATAATCATTCATATTTTAAAGTCACTGGCTTCACTGTTGCTTGGGTTAAAAATTTCTATTTTTGTACAACCTATTTCTTTTTTTGTTTTCTTTTTGTGGGTTTGACTTCCATCCTGGTTTCCTTTCTGATTGTATGTCAACTGGTCGGTTTTCATTCTGCTTTGTAGATTGGTCTTGTTGATTTTGTTTTTGTGTCTCATGTTTCTTTTTTATCCCTTGTATATCCTCTAATTGGTTTCCATGCTTATCCTTGCCTTGATAAGTCATCACATTAAAATCAGATGGCACTTCTCTCAAATTTATAGATAATCCAGCTGGGGTATCCGATAAATCCAAAGGCAATTTATCTGGTACAGTCTCTGTAATTCGATATTTTCCCTTTATTTCCAGCTCCTTCTGCTTATCCTGTATTATACCTGAAGATGTTAAATTCATGTTCAACCTATTTTGATAAAATTCTTCCGCTCTTTCAATAGTATTTAACTGATATCTTTCTCCTTGATGTCTCAGTATAATACCAACTGGGGCGTTCCACCTATATGGAATATTTCTCTTTTTTAACTCAGACACCAGAAAACCAAATTTCTTCCTTTCTGTTAATATCTTAGGTGGGAGTTCCTTGTAGATCCATATCTTTCTTCCATACAATTGCAAATTAGAATTGAAGGAATTTTGCACAATATTATTCCTAATTTCCTTGTCCGTAAAATAAATCACCACATCTCTAGGCAGTTGCCTTTGCTTAGCAATCCAGGAATTTATTCTGAAAACTCTGTCAATCCTACTAAACACTTCATCAGGTTGAACCTTTAGAATCCCAGCTAGAAATTCAGAAGATATTTTCCTTAAATCATCTCTATTATTTTCCTGCAAACCTCGCAGTCTTATCGCATATTCTGTAAAATTATATTGTACCATTAGAACCTCTTGTTCAATCCTCTGTTGCAGATTTTCTACATTACCAGACTTTTGGTCAGCATCCATTTTAGGTTTTTCTTTTGAGCTATTATCCTGAGTGTTTATCAAATCATTTTCAATTTTTTGAATTCTATTGTCCAATTTATCTTGAATTTCATCCATTTTAGACTCTAGTAAATTAGTATTTGTATCCAACCGTATCATAAATTCTGAAAATCCATTAACCACTTTTAAAACTTTTCGCTCCAAAAAATCAAACTTAGATTTTACCAATTCTTTAATTTCCTGCTTAAATTTTTCAAGATGCTGATTCACAATCTCATCCCTTCTTTCAATCTCCTCTAAGAGAAATTCTATTATATTAAAATCAGGTTTCTGAGACTGAAGAGTTAAAACTTGTTCCTTTAAATTGTTGGTGGAATCCCCCCCCCCCTTACTTGTTTATCTGACTTTGTAAATCTCAGTGCCATGTTTCCGCCCAGGCAGGCTTTGTTAAAAAGAAAAGAAAAGAAAAAACAAGAGAAAAAACTTCTTTCCAATCAACAACAATATCAAGTCTTCAGGAAAAAAAAGAAAAGAAAAACACAGGAGCGAAGTTTTGTCTACAAATGTAACCAGTGGTATTTATTCCGCTACATTGTAATAATAGAAAACGGAAGGACTTTTCCTTTCTGCCTCTTCTCCAGCTGCTGCAAGCGCCATTTTAAAAGGCTTTCCCCCCCCCTTTCCTTTCGTCTTTTCTCTTAAGTAATTTTTTTAAAAGATAAGTAAAATACTTGCGGTTCAGTATTACAGATCCAGCTCACATTTTCTTTGAGTAATCTGTTAGATTCACAGGCTTGCTCTTGACGCCTGGCTCTGCATTAGCAGAGGTCTCCCAAAGCCCGGAGCAACGGCTGGGGATATGGGGCATCTCATCCGCTCCGTCCCAAAAGTAAAAGAAAAACTTTTGGGACTCTGCAGAGAGTTCTACCCACCCCTGCCGGCTCTATCTCCGTTTCCTCATGGAAACGGAGTTTTTTCGAGCCGCCGTTCCGTTGTGAAGGCGGCTCTGACAGGCAGTGGAAGCTGACGATCCCAAAGGAACGTCTGGCGGCGGCCAGCAGCAAACAGGAAGTCCAACCTCCGAATTTTTTTAACAGTGAAAAATTGCATTTTGTACAGTTAATATGGTTATATTACTATGTTCTCACTGGAAAGTCTTCAGATGAAATCTAGATATAGCCTTGACTTGCCCATGGTTATCTATAGTTTATCAAGGAGAATGTGTAGGTTTTCGAAATGCATGGATCCAGGAATGAATGGTGGGAATGGAATTTGCATCACACCACGTTAGACTATAATTATATTTAATAGACTATATTAAAGGCCTGGTGATTAAAACATAGGAAGAACTGTTGCAGATTTGGGTTTGGCTACTCTAGAGAAAAGAAGGACTAGGTGGACATGATAGCAGTCTTCCAGTATTTGAGGGGCTGCCACAAAGAAGAGGGTCAACTTATTTTCGAAAGCACCAGAAGGCAGGAGAAGAAACAATGGATGGAAACTCATCAAGGAGAGAAGCAACTTGGAATTGAGGAGAAACTTCCTAACAGTGAGGGCAATTAAGCAGTGGAACAGCTTGCCACCAGAAGTTGTGGGTGCTTCATCACTGGAGGATTTTTAAAGAAGAGATTTTTAAAGAAGAGAACCATCAGTCTGAAATGGTATAGGATCTACTGCTTGGGCAAGGGGCTGGACTAGAAGACCTCCAAGGTCCCTTCCTTCTCTATTCTGATTTAGATTCTAAATAGCTGGCTGGTTTGCCACCTGGGGCAATGTGTGAGCAACATCATTGGTCCATGCTGTGGAGTTAAACAATGTTTCTCAACCTTGACAACTTTAAGAGGTCTGAATGAGCCAACCATGTGCAGTGGCAGCCAAAAAAGCCAAGGCAATCCTAAATTGCATTAACAGAGGGATACAATTGTCAGCACTTCAAGCTGCATTTACTCTAGTGCTGACATAAGAAGGAGAAGCGGAGGCGTCTGGAAAGGGACGTTTGACTTTTCACCTACTTATTTTCCCTGGAGATAATATCCCCTAGGAGATGGGATGGGAGGGGGGAAATTCCTTTGAGCTGGAGCAGTAGATTAGGGGTAGAGTGACTTGGAAGATGGCCAATGAGTGCAGAGGAGTGGGGAAAGGAAAGTGGGGCTTTTGGGTCAGGAAG